TCTGGGTCTGGTATAGATTCCTGATGAGCAACTCCTCATTTTTGTACATATAACCTTATTTCCAGTGTCACATTGTACTTAATCCGTAAGTTGTTTAGAAGCATATAGGGTTCCCCTCATTTCAAATCTGTGTGGTCATGAGAAATATTTTCTCCAAACAACTGTTTTTTTCCAGTTGTCTGAGAGATAGACCCCATTAGATAAAGTTTGTTAACTGTTCAAATTATCTCTGTATCTACTGAATTTTGTTTACTGTATCTATCAGTTACTGAAAGAGCTGTATAAGTATCCTACTGTAATGGTAGATTCCTCAGTTTCTCCATGTGGTTGTTTTGTTTTTGTTTTATATATTTTAACACTATGTTATGAAGTGATGAATGTTTAGATTTATAATATTTCCTGGTGAATGAACCTTTTTTCCTATTGTATTGACTATAATTTCATAAAGGTCTTCTTGGCCTATTTCCAAATATTTTCTCTTTATCTGTTTTATCCCATATTATTTTGCTTCACATTTTGTGAGTGGGGATGGAGGCTTTAAAAATATGCTGTTGTATATTTTTCCTCTCAATCTTTCTGCTTTTTTATGTTTTAAATTTTAAATGTATCTTTTTCAAATAGCCTAAATCTAATTTTTTTTGTTTTATTTTTGTACGGCCTGAAGATCTTTGTCTTTTAAATTGAGACGACTTAAACCCATTTGTATTATAATAACTAACTCATTTGTTTTTATTTCTATTCTTTGCACTTCTTGTTTTTCTTGCTTTCTTGTTACATTTTTCCTCTTTCTTGCTTTCTTTTGAACTTTTTTCAGGTTGCACTCCTCCCTCTATTCTTTTCCCTTTATTGTTTAGAGGTTATATACTCTATTTCTGTGCATTTAAAGGTCATTCCAGTGTTTTAAGATGCTTATGTAAAGTCTAAAATTACTCAGTATTTTTACCCGTATGCAAATGATAAAAGAATATCAGAGTGGTTTTGATCCCTCCACCTGACTTAAACATTCTAGCCAATTGCCATTCTCTATTTGCAACAAATTAATCATTATTATTACTGTGTAACATTTTAGTGCTTGTTTAGATTTACTCATGTATCTAACAATACTTTTTCCTCATGCTTCATACATTTCCAACCTTTTGGAATCATTTTCCTTTCTCCTGAAGCACCTCTTCTAAAATTTCCTTTAGCAAGAGTCTTTTGGTAGAAACCCGTCTCTGTTTTCATGTTCCTGAAAATAGCCTTAATTTTCCCTCTGGAAATAGGATTTCTAAGAGTATAGAATTTTAGATAGACATTTATTTTATCATGGCATACAGAAGATACTAGTCCATTGTGTTCTAACATCTATTGGTGCTATTAAGAAACTAGTGATTGACTTAAATATCATTCCTTAGCAAGGTAATCTGTCTTTTCTTTCTAGCCATTTTGAGATTTTAACTTTTTCTTTGTTGGTCTGTAGTTTCACAGGGACATGGAGAGCTATGGATTTCTTTTTATTTTTCCCAGTATGCGTTTATTTTATTTCCTAGATCTGAGATTATCTTGTACCATTGTTAGAAAATTTTAAACTAGTATCTTTTGAATACTGCCTCTCCCCCTCTCTGCTTGTTACCTCTTTCTATACTCTTAGTAGCTGTATCTTACCTTTTCACACTCACCTCTTTAAACAGATCTTTCTTCACTATACAGAAAATAATTTATTCACCTATATCTTCCATTCACTAATTTTCTTTTCATCTGTGTGTAGTATGCTGTTTACTGTATTCGCTAAGCATTTTATTTCAACTATAATAGTTTTCATTTATAGTTGTTTCATTGAGTTCTCTTAACTCTGTTCTTTCATGGTTTATGGGCTTTTGCCCCGTTCACATTTTTACACTTTAATTGCCTTAAGCATATTAAATATAATTTAGTTACTATTTAATATTTAATGACATCATTAATTAAAAGTAATTTAAAATTGTCAGAGTCGGTCTGACCGTTCTAACATCTGGTATCTGCTCCTTATTCAGCTAGCTTTTGATTATTTAGCCTAGTTTCTTTTTGTGTTATTTGTTTACTTATTTAGTTATGTTTTTGTTAGATGCTCCTTTCTCTTAGAACTTTGTCTATGGGAATTCTTTGAGATCTGCATTAAGTCCTTAATTGTATTGCTTTGGAGTATTCTTATGAGGATACTTTATTCTTCCTTTGAAGTTTTTGAGACCACAGACCTAATATGGATGGAGACATCAAAGCTCTCTGGGTAAGGAAGAGCTTGTGGTTAAAGGTCCTTAGGAGAGAGATCTTGTTTCCCTCCACCCAGCAGTGAGGTAGACAAGCAAGTCCTTCAGCTCTCCTTTCCATTAACCTGACACTAAGGATGTGGCTCTTGGGGCCCCTACTTTAAGAGTTTCCTGTTACATTTTGTGTTAAAGGGGAGAATCTGGGCTTTCTCTCTCTTATGCTCTGGGCGCTGTGGAACCATTAGAGTTGAAGTTCACAGTCCCCAGAGCTTTGCAGAAGCTCTAAAGCTGAAACCTAGCTGTGTACTTAACCTCCTCAGATTCCTATTTTCACTTCATTTTGAGATTCTGCTTTTTCCTTTCTTTCATGCCAACTCGGTGATGTATGCCTTAAAATATTCTTTCATATTTTATCCAGGATGTTTCAGTTGGGAGGGATGTTCAAGGTAGCTAACCCACCATTCTGCTGGAAACAGAACATCCTTTTATTTAATTCTTGTACAAGCCCTGTTCTATGAGGAAGAAGAGTTAAATGTAGTTGCAAAATCAAATAGTTAATAATATTTTGATGCAAACCTAGGTCTCCTGACTTAAGGCCACATTTTTTTTCCCCAAAACTATATGGTACAACCTGTTCCTTACAGAAGCCTTAAAGAGAGAAATGAATTCTTCTGACTTTGTAGTACCAAGTGGGTTTCATAAGGGTGATTGTTTTTAAGAGTTTAGGACTTTCTTATCTTAATTTACATCCTGTTCTGAGGACTGTACCAATCAAGTAAATCTAGGAATATGATATTTTGGGTTTCTGGAATGAATATTCCAAAAATTATTTTCCTGTCATTCTTGGGGATAAAATCTACCTGTGAAATTGTTCCCAGTGACAGCCTGTCTAACCCCAGCTTGTGAAGTTTATGAAATGTCTGCTGCCTTTAAATGTGCATGCATGCATCAAAGTTAGTACTTTGTTTTAGGGCATATTGGGTTTCTTTTGGGAACTGGAAAAGTTCTGATTTTTGCATGGAGACTCATAAAGCCAATCCATTTATTTAACAGTAGCTTTAGTCCAATCTGAAGTGTACTATGGACAATTTAAGAAATAATATATTTATTTTAAACTCTAATGAAACAAATTTACGCTTGCCTACTAATGGAATTATTTATAATTAAGAGTTTCATCTGCATTATTGGTATGCACTCCTGATTGTTGTATATGTATTTCATCTTGGGGCCAAGACAAAACTTCTTTGAAGCTTCTTGATGAAAGTTGAATAATATATAGTAAACTAGATTGACAGTTTTTTTTTCCGCTGGTTACCATGAAGGCAATTTCAGTTAGAAACCCCCAGCATTTACAAATGATAGTCATATTTTATCCCTATGCATCTTTACATTTTATGTAGTCTTTTATTGGTGTCTTCTAGCCTTTGTCTGCAATTCTGACCCATGCTCTACTCTGTTGTCAGTGACCTAATTATAGTCATATTTGATAACATCACCTCTCTAGCCCCAGTCCCACAGGATAATGCACACACTCCTTACTGTTGCAGTCTTCCCAACCCAACCATTACTTCCTCTAGTCCCCACCTTATTTGGTTTTCATCACCATGGACCTCATCCATGGCCCCTAATTCTTGAAGACGCCTTACCCAGCCCAGCACCCTGGCTTCCAACAGCACATACACACTGATGACTCAGAAGGATGTATCTTCAGCCTGCCCATTTCTCTGGGTTCTATACTCATAGATTCAACATTCCAGATGTAACAGGTTTAAAGTGAAGTCTTGTATGAAGTCCCACTTCTCCTCCATGTCATCCCATCTCAGCTTGTAAATAAAAAACTTGGGAAATTTCGAAGACACTTTTTCCTTCCCTACATCTGAGCAAGTTCCCACAAGCTGCACGTTCAAAATACACCTGCCTTCTGACCACTCTCCTCTTCACTGGAACTACCCTCATCCAAGCCACCATCCCTTACCCTCACTTACCCTCTGCACTGGTTTTCCTGTGCTCACTGCACTCAGCGGCCAAAGAGATCTTTTATAAAATGTAAACATTATCTTGCCTCTAAATGAACCACCCAAAGACTTATAACACTGTAAAGAAAGCCCAGAAGTCCTTCCCTCAGGGTCTCCAGGGCTGTCCATGCTCTCCCGAGCTCACGGTCTTCACTACGGTCCCTCCAGAATGCTCTTCTTAGATACCTCAGCCCTTATTTCTTGTGCCCATCGAGCACGTCTCCTTTCTCTCTGAACTGCTCTTCTCTCAGGTGACCATGTGGTTCATGCTCTCCCCTTATTTAAGTCTCTGCTCAGCTGTCACCATCTCAAAGGAGCTGTTTCAGATCAACTTTTCTAAAACAGCATTTGTATCGGTCAGATGCTGTTGCATCGTAACAACCACAGATACCGCAGGGAGTGGCAGACCGCAGTGCGCGTCCACCGGTCAGCTGGGGACTGGAGAGTCGAGGCTGGGGCAGAGGTCGCTTTCCTTCGGGCCCCGCATCTGCCTGGGTTTGGCTTCTCAATGCAGACTAGGCTCGTGTCGGCTTCCCGTCTATGATTTCCTATCCATGGAAAGTGGCGGGAGTAGGTGCTCCATGATTGTTCGCTCATAAATATGTAAAGGAACGAATACATGGAATGGAACTTAAGAGAATAAGTAGATAGAACAGAGATGAAGTGAAATAGCTTGCTTGGAATTTTCTAGTATATGGCTTGACCGCGGTAAGATCCTGAGACAATTCTGCCATGCCTTCTCTTATTTTCTCATGTTCAGATCAGAGAACAGGCACGTGTTTCTCAGGCCTGGTGAACGGTCGCTGTGCCCAAGAGCTCCCGGGCAGAATGGCAAAGACACAGTGTTGCTGTGAACCTGGTCGCTGCTGGGGTGTTGGAACCATTCCTGAAGCCTGCCCCGTCAGGGGCTCCGGTGAGCGGGGGCCGCTCGTCTCAGGACGGACGGTGCTGAGAAAATCAGGGACAATGCCGTACTTTGCTCCTCTCCTTGAAGTCAAGTCATACTTGTGTTACTGCCGTCTTCAGTGAGACCTGCGTGTTTCTGTGAGGGAGAAGGTGGTATTGCTTATTTGGGATTAGTTCTCACTATACCCAGTTTATTCATATCCGAAAAATTCCTGAGGCCGGATGATGACTTGTCTTTGTGCCTGTATTTCTAAGAATTATCTTGAATGTCTGTATTTCAACTCAGTTTTAAAACCTCTGTATCTTTCGTTCCCAAGCTTGAATATCTTTGCATAACAAAAGTTCTACCTTCATTTATCTTATTTCGGGAGTATCCTTACATTGCAGTAATCCAATCCCCTAAGATACTTAAGATACTGCCTCTCTTTTCTTAGAACCTGAAAATTACGAATATGAGATGGGAGGATGGTTCTCATTCATTTTGCTTTATTAACTGCTGTGTAACTGAGGCCATAGCAGGAAATTCGGATGAATGAGTAGTGACTCAAGTGAATATAGCATGAATAGTAAAGTACAATTAACGTTTACCCCCAGAAAGGTGATCAGTATATTTTATTATATTGTCTTTGTATTAAATTATACTTCTTATGGAAATAATTTAAACTTTTTGAAATATAAAGACATGTATGTACATGTACTGTATGGAGAACAAAATTATAGTGCATTCTTTCAAAATCTCTAAGCTATAAAATGTCAAAATTGAGTAGCAAAAATTTCTGAAAAGCAGAGTCAATGCAGAATGTAATTTTGGAAATTCATATTTCCACTAGTAATATATAATAGAAATATTTAACTGAACAGTTACTTGAGTTAAATAATTTTCATTTTTTCCAATATTCTGCCCTATTCTGAGGGCAGTTAAGGAAATTGAGGCAATCGCTATATTCTTGCTTCCTTTCTCTTACTTTGATACTTGGACAAATAAGGAGCAGATTTACAAGCTTACTAAATATTGTCTTCTGTTAAAATCCATGTCAGAAAAAAGTATTCTGAAACTATATTAATCCCTTAAAGAGAAGAAAGAAAACAGATAGGAAAAATCTGTAGTTGCTATACTGATGAGGTTCTAAGTAAAGCCAATATACAGCATGAATTACTTAAACTTTTAGTTTTCATCCATCCAAGTGAATTTCTTGCACTCATAATTATTTATACCTGGAATTTTGTGAGCTGCACTTAAAGACATAAAATTTAAGTGCGCATATAGATGATTCTTTGGTTATGCAACTCAGTTAAAATATTAATACTCAATTTTTTAACTTTTTCTGAAACATCTCTACCTTTCCTGCTTCGGCTAGCATTGAAACATGTAGCAAGATAATAAACTGCTTATTCATAGCATGTAGTATATAGATAAACTGAAACCATTATTACAGTATGCCGAGTGCTTATGCAGAAAGATAACCATTTGTGTTTAACTGAACTTCCTTTTCCTCTAGAGGAATATCGCAGACTTTGCATGGATGGACTTCCAATAGGAGGGGTTCCAGGGAGTGCTGGTTCCAGACCTGGAGGCACTGGGGGAAATGGCTTTGCCCCAAGTGGAAATGGCAATGGCTATGGCCCAGGAGGGACTGGCTTCATCCCCATCCCTGGAAGCAATGGCTTTTCTCCTGGAGTTGGGGGAGCCAGTGTAGGGGCTGGGGGACAGGGTCCCATCATCACTGGACTAAGTGAGTGTTCACTTTTTGTGTAGTTTTCTGCCTTAAATGATATTATAATACTTAACATGTTTTTTTTTTCCAAAAGGTGTGTAGTAACACAAAATTCTTAGGAAAATATTATTTTTATGTTTCATAAACTTTCCAAATTGGAGAAAAGAGTGAGTGACCCAGGTTCCCTGTGCAAATAGAGATGAGAGCATGGTACCACTCCAATCCAGATGACACCATTACAGAGCATATTTTTGGTTCCAGTGTATTTCATTTGGCCGTTTGCAGCTGCTCTGATCATACACCCCTTGAATTATTTTCCAGAACCATTTCTCAACTGAGATAAACTGAATAAGTCTTGCTCTGTGCCTATCCAAATATTATAATGAAATATCTTTCTTTTCCTCACTCTTTTTTTGTTGAGTAACTTAAGACATCAAGAACCATGGGCTTCAGGCCAGAGTTGGCATTAGTTTACTTGACTTTGAAGTTCATTCTTTTTAAAAGAACTGCTGTTGCTAATAATATTTAATAATGTCCTACAGTGCTATGTTTATTCTTTTTGGCACATTGCCTATTTACTATATCTGAATATTCAGTACAGTTACAAAAGAAGAAATGGAAAGCATTCAAAAAAGTACAGTAGAACATTCCTGAAATTTTGAGAAGACATCATTCTGAGCAAAGTTTACAGATGTATAATTTAACAAATACAAGTACAACTATGTATCTCAAGTATATTTTTTAGGTCATGGACATAGGTGTTCTAATAAAATATAGAATAATGCTGGCTTTTGATGTATATACCTAATTTACTATTTATTAAATATCCTTTAAAAAAATCAACTCTAAGAATACGAATTCATCCTGGAATGATGAAATATCCCCTATGCTTTAATTTCCCATAGCTATTCTGAACCAGACAATAGACATCTGTAAACACCATGCTAATCTCTGTTTAAACGGACGCTGCATACCTACCGTTTCTAGCTACCGATGCGAATGCAACATGGGCTATAAGCAGGATGCAAATGGGGATTGCATAGGTAAGTTCATGATTCTTTAAACCCACTTAGTTTTTTAATAGCTTTTAGACTACAAGAACAAATTGGACTGAAGGTAATAGTTTTTTTTATTAACAAGTCTTTGGAAGTAAAGTTAATTTCCAGGCTGTCTCCTATGTACATGTTCTTCCATATGCTCCCTTAAGCTATTGCTGAGATGAACCACTTTAAGAATCCCCCACCCTCTCAGGTCCTAACTATTGTAATTTCTATCTCTGCCTCTCCCATTCCTTTCTTGCTAGTCGAGCAGTACTGGATATATTGGGGTGTCATTAACGTGCAGAAGAAGGTACAGCATGGGAGGAAAAAGTTGGTGGGTCTCTTTGGGATATGTTGAGTTTTATGTGTGTGGAACATTTTCTAAAGCTAAGAGGAGTGCTCAGGGATGGAGCGACAGATTTAGGCACCAATGGCATGCACGTGGCTGTTAGAACCATCAAAATGGATACTGTCACCCAGGTTGAACCATAGCAAGAGATGAAGAGATAAAAAAAGTAGTACTGTGGCTGGAACCCTGTGGAACAGCAACATGGGGCATGAAGAAAACAGTGCTGGAGAAGAGCAAAATAGCCTGGAAAGTTTTATGTCTCAGAAGCTATGCAAAGGGCACACTTCCAAGGGAAACATAGTGTCAAGGGTTAAATGCAGCAAAATAATCAAATACAGTGAGGACAAAAATATCTTCTGGATTTCATAATGAAGAGGGTTTTCATGATCTTTTAAGAGTAGTTTTAGGAATATGGGAATGGAACCGTTTAGAGGTTGTTCTTTTAGTTTTTCATCATGTATATGTTCCATAATTAGCATAACCCTAAATACCGGATTTGGGTTTAGGCCTTCTGCTGTAAAATATGAAGGGAGGCCAGGAACAGAGAGAGTTCCCAAAATAATTATCATAATTTTGCCAAGGTAGACTGAAAATGCCTAAGTGTACTATGATTATGAAGGAAAACGTGAGCCATATGTTTTGGAAAAACTGATCATTCTAAACAAAGTACAGAGCTACTAGATCAAAATGACTACATGAGGCTCAGGACCCCTGTGTACAGATGCCCAGGTTTTGCACTACTCAGCTCCAGAGGGTGCCATTCACGTAATCAGTGTGCATCTTAGGGTCATGCGGTGTATAACCATATGCAGAAGCCCTAGCTTAGCTGATAGTGATATTGAAGGTGGTTATTTCTGGACACCATGAAATGCTCATATATTTATTCTTATTATATGACTTGAGAATTATTTTGCTATCAGAAAACATGATTATAAGTATACAATACATAAAATAGCCCCTCTTACACATACATACACAGTCACAATCCATCAAACTGAAATTTGATTGACTATTTTTGTTCGGCTATTAATGTTTGTCATTCATGTGTCTCTACATGATTCACTAACCAATGAATAAAAGTAGGCCAGACATTGAATATTTTCTGTAGATTAGCCAAAGACCACCATTTATTTCATGTTAGCACCCAGGTACACTTGATTCTTCTGTAGAGCACCTGTACTCTGGAGGAGTTGGTGAACCACTGTTATAAAGATGAACTATCTTTAAGAATCAAGAGTTCATGCTGCCACCCCAGCCTTCTCATCCAGGCTGGCTCTAAGGAATTCAGCCCTGGAAGGTGGTTTCAGTGACTCAGTTTTCCCAAGGGTGATACACAGTCAGGTATGCTCCAGATGCTCATCTCAGACAGGTCTCTTAAAGTAGGTCCTTATTTCATAAACTTTCCAAATTGGAGAAAAGAGTGAGTGACCCAGGTTCCCTGTGAAAATAGAGATGAGAGCATGGTACCACTCCAATCCAGATGACACCATTACAGAGCATATTTTTGGTTCCAGTGTATTTCATTTGGCCGTTTGCAGCTGCTCTGATCATACACCCCTTGAATTATTTTCCAGAACCATTTCTCAACTGAGATAAACTGAATAAGTCTTGCTCTGTGCCTATCCAAATATTATAATGAAATATCTTTCTTTTCCTCACTCTTTTTTTGTTGAGTAACTTAAGACATCAAGAACCATGGGCTTCAGGCCAGAGTTGGCATTAGTTTACTTGACTTTGAAGTTCATTCTTTTTAAAAGAACTGCTGTTGCTAATAATATTTAATAATGTCCTACAGTGCTATGTTTATTCTTTTTGGCACATTGCCTATTTACTATATCTGAATATTCAGTACAGTTACAAAAGAAGAAATGGAAAGCATTCAAAAAAGTACAGTAGAACATTCCTGAAATTTTGAGAAGACATCATTCTGAGCAAAGTTTACAGATGTATAATTTAACAAATACAAGTACAACTATGTATCTCAAGTATATTTTTTAGGTCATGGACATAGGTGTTCTAATAAAATATAGAATAATGCTGGCTTTTGATGTATATAACTAATTTACTATTTATTAAATATCCTTTAAAAAAATCAACTCTAAGAATACGAATACATCCTGGAATGATGAAATATCCCCTATGCTTTAATTTCCCATAGCTATTCTGAACCAGACAATAGACATCTGTAAACACCATGCTAATCTCTGTTTAAACGGACGCTGCATACCTACCGTTTCTAGCTACCGATGCGAATGCAACATGGGCTATAAGCAGGATGCAAATGGGGATTGCATAGGTAAGTTCATGATTCTCTAAACCCACTTAGTTTTTTAATAGCTTTTAGACTACAAGAACAAATTGGACTGAAGGTAATAGTTTTTTTTATTAACAAGTCTTTGGAAGTAAAGTTAATTTCCAGGCTGTCTCCTATGTACATGTTCTTCCATATGCTCCCTTAAGCTATTGCTGAGATGAACCACTTTAAGAATCCCCCACCCTCTCAGGTCCTAACTATTGTAATTTCTATCTCTGCCTCTCCCATTCCTTTCTTGCTAATCGAGCAGTACTGGATATATTGGGGTGTCATTAACGTGCAGAAGAAGGTACAGCATGGGAGGAAAAAGTTGGTGGGTCTCTTTGGGATATGTTGAGTTTTATGTGTGTGGAACATTTTCTAAAGCTAAGAGGAGTGCTCAGGGATGGAGCGACAGATTTAGGCACCAATGGCATGCACGTGGCTGTTAGAACCATCAAAATGGATACTGTCACCCAGGTTGAACCATAGCAAGAGATGAAGAGATAAAAAAAGTAGTACTGTGGCTGGAACCCTGTGGAACAGCAACATGGGGCATGAAGAAAACAGTGCTGGAGAAGAGCAAAATAGCCTGGAAAGTTTTATGTCTCAGAAGCTATGCAAAGGGCACACTTCCAAGGGAAACATAGTGTCAAGGGTTAAATGCAGCAAAATAATCAAATACAGTGAGGACAAAAATATCTTCTGGATTTCATAATGAAGAGGGTTTTCATGATCTTTTAAGAGTAGTTTTAGGAATATGGGAATGGAACCGTTTAGAGGTTGTTCTTTTAGTTTTTCATCATGTATATGTTCCATAATTAGCATAACCCTAAATACCGGATTTGGGTTTAGGCTGTAAAATATGAAGGGAGGCCAGGAACAGAGAGAGTTCCCAAAATAATTATCATAATTTTGCCAAGGTAGACTGAAAATGCCTAAGTGTACTATGATTATGAAGGAAAACGTGAGCCATATGTTTTGGAAAAACTGATCATTCTAAACAAAGTACAGAGCTACTAGATCAAAATGACTACATGAGGCTCAGGACCCCTGTGTACAGATGCCCAGGTTTTGCACTGCTCAGCTCCAGAGGGTGCCATTCACGTAATCAGTGTGCATCTTAGGGTCATGCGGTGTATAACCATATGCAGAAGCCCTAGCTTAGCTGATAGTGATATTGAAGGTGGTTATTTCTGGACACCATGAAATGCTCATATATTTATTCTTATTATATGACTTGAGAATTATTTTGCTATCAGAAAACATGATTATAAGTATACAATACATAAAATAGCCCCTCTTACACATACATACACAGTCACAATCCATCAAACTGAAATTTGATTGACTGTTTTTGTTCGGCTATTAATGTTTGTCATTCATGTGTCTCTACATGATTCACTAACCAATGAATAAAAGTAGGCCAGACATTGAATATTTTCTGTAGATTAGCCAAAGACCACCATTTATTTCATGTTAGCACCCAGGTACACTTGATTCTTCTGTAGAGCACCTGTACTCTGGAGGAGTTGGTGAACCACTGTTATAAAGATGAACTATCTTTAAGAATCAAGAGTTCATGCTGCCACCCCAGCCTTCTCATCCAGGCTGGCTCTAAGGAATTCAGCCCTGGAAGGTGGTTTCAGTGACTCAGTTTTCCCAAGGGTGATACACAGTCAGGTATGCTCCAGATGCTCATCTCAGACAGGTCTCTTAAAGTAGGTCCTTGCTTCTCCTGGAGCTTGGGTTAGAATGGCTGCTACCACCTTTTTTTTTTTTTTTATAAACTCTGTCTAATGTAGTGTTGGCTTACATGTCAGCACAGCTAATATAAATCTCTGACTTCTGTGTTTCACCAACATTGCTGTAAATTGTTCCATTGCAAATGGATCTCATCATCCACAAAGGTAAAACCCAGACATGATTATCCTTCTATGGTAATTCATAGAGCCAAAGATCAGTATTGGGGCATACTTTCAGAAAATAAGTTTTTAATATCTTTAATCCTATCTTCTTTCCAGTGTCAACTTCTAATCAGTTTGAGTATGAGTTTATAAACAACTTAGGACATCAGAAGAAGTTAAGAGGCTATAAGTTAACCAGTGTTTTAAATTTTAATTGCCCAAGATGAGAGTTATCACTGTTTTAATTGTACCTGTGTTTTGAGGAATAATAAACCACCACTGCTATTTGGGAACTTCTATTAGATACTGAAGTAGGATAATTCGACAGGCAATAACTGTATTAAAGGATCAAAGACAAGGAAAATAGAATTGGTCCATTTGCCCTTATGAAAATTGCTATTGAGGTCTGAACACACTTATATCTACTCACCATGTTTCTTCTTTTCCTGAGAATTCAACTTTAAAATGAATTTTTGTGACTCTTCCTGACTATGTAAGTCCAACTGCCATTAGCAGTGGGTTTTAACTCAATTTGAAGCATTCTACTTTGGAATAGTAAGAAGTAATTTTGGTGTAGGTTGGGCCACAGGTAATCTTAGAGCACTTGCATATTAAAAGTATTTGCTAAATTGGAATATGAGGTACTTTTCAAAAGTATTTCTTGCTTTAATAGTACTGATAATTTAACCATTTTGATAATCATCTTTCTCAATTACTCTACTTATTTTGGGAATTTAAAATTCTATGACTTTTGCTTAGTCCCCAATGAAACTAAAAATAGTGCCCAATGAAAATAGGAAGAAATTAAAGTGCACAGACTTTAGTATTTAAGTACTCCTCTTCTCCTACATAAGGCAAAACAAAGGGAATCACTTGGAAGGAGTAGGCATGACAGTCAGAGGAAAGAAGAGGAATGAAATGTACATTTCAGAGCATGGCAGCAGGCATTTGTGATTACAGGCATACCCCATTTTATTGTGCTTTGCAAATACTGCATTTTTTTATGAATTAATGGTATATGGTAACTCTGCGTGGTAACTCTGCGTCGAGCAAGTCTATGGGGCCCACTTTTTTCAACAGCACTTGCTCACTTTGTGTCTCTGTCACATTTGGTAATTGTTGCAATATTTCAAACTTTTTTATTATTGTTATATTTCTTATGGTGAACTGTGATTGGTAACGTCTGGTGTGTTTATTGTAATTGTTTTTTGGTGCTCTGGGAACTGCACCCATATCAGATAGCCAACTTAATGGATGAATGTGTGTGTTCTGACTGCTGCATCAGCTGGCAGTCCCACATGTCTCTTCTCCTTGGGCCTCCCTAGTCCCTGGGACACAACAATATTGAAGTTAGGCCAATTAATAAGTCTACAATGGCCTCTGAATGTTCCAGTGAAAGGAGAAGTTGCACATCTCTCACTTTAAATCAAAAGCCAGAAATTATTGAGCTGAGAGAGGGAGGCCTGTGGAAAGCCAAGACAGGATGAAAGCTGGGCCTCTTGCGCCAAACAGCCAAGTTGTGAAGGCAAAGGATGAGTTCTTGAAGGAAGTTAAAAGTGCTATTCCAGGGAACACAGAAATAACAAGTGAAACAGCCTTATTGCTGATATGGAGTGACTTTTAGTGGTCTGGACTGATGATCAAACCAGCCACAATATTCCCTTAAGCTAAAGCCTAACCCAGAACAAGACCCCAACTCTCTTCAGTTCTAGGAATTCACCTCTAGGCTGAGAGAGGTGAGGAAGGTGGAGAAGAAAAGTCCAAAACTTGCAGAGATTAGTTCATGAGGTTTAAGGCAAGAAGCCATCTCCGTAACATAAAAGTGCAGGGGCAGCAGCAAGTGCTGATGGAAAAGCTGTAGCAAGTTATCCAGAAGATCCAGCTAAGATAATTCATAAACGTCACTCTGTTAAACCAAGATTGTCAATGTAGACATAACTATCTTCTATTGGAAGAATATTCCATCCAGCACTTTAGTAGTTAGGAGAAGTCAGTGCCTGGCTTCAAAGCTTCCAAGGACAGGCTGACTCTCTTGTTAGGGGCTAATGCAGCTGGTGACTTTAAGTTGAAACTCAAAAGACCATTCCTAAAATCCTAAGGCCCTCAAGAATTACACAAAATCTTCTCTGCCTGTGCTTTATAAATGGCACAATGAAGCCTGGATGACAGCCAATATTTACAGCATGGTTTATGGAACATTTTAAGCCCACCATTGAAACCTACTACTCAGAAAAAAGTTTCCTTTCAAAACATAACAACTCACTGACGATGTACCTGGTCACACAATAGCTCTGATGGAGATAGACAATGAGATGAAAGGTGTTTTCATGCCTGCTAACACAACATCCATTCTGCAGCCCATGGGTCAAAGAGTCATGTCGACTTTTAAGTCTTCTATTGAAGAGAGAGATTCCATAAGACTATAGGTGTCATAGGTAGTGGTAGACTTTATGGGAAGGACTCACCATTCTAGATGCCATTATGGGCATTCGTTATTCATGGGAAGGGGTCAAACTATCAGTATCGACAGGAGTTTGGAAGAAGTTGATTCCAATCCTCATTGGATGACTTTGGGGGGTTCAAGACTTCAGTGAGGCAGTCACTGCAGGTGTGGTGGGAACAGCAAGAGAACTAGAATTAGAAGTGGAGCCTGAAGCTGTGTGCAATTGCAGCAGTGTGATTGGAATATTGTGATAAAACTTGAACAGATGAGGAGTTGCTTCTCATGGACACGCAAAGAAAAGTGGTTTCTTGATATGGAATCTGCTAGTGGAGATGCTATGAAGACGGGATGACAACAGAGGATTTAGAATATGACATAAACTTAGTTGATGAAGCAGTGGTAGGATGTGAGAAGATCAACTCCAGTTCTGACAGAAGTTCTCCTGTGGGTCGAATGCTATTGAACAGCATCGCATGCTACAATGAAACTTCCTGAAGGGAAGCGTGCATCGCCGTGGCAGACCTCCCTGTTGTCTTATTTTAAGAAATTGCCACCCCACCCAGCCTTCAGTGACCACCACCGTGATCAGTCAGCAGCCATCAGCATCAAGGCAAGACCCTCCACCAGCAAGAAGATGACCGATGATGAAAGCTCAGATGATGGTTAGCATTTTTAAGCAATTAAGTATTTTTTAACTAAGGTATATGTATTGTTTTTTAAACATAATGCTGTTACCCACTTAATAGACTACAGTGTACCAGAAACTAACTTTTATATGCACCGGGAAGCCTAAAAAACTCATTTGATTCTTTTTATTGTGATACTTGCTTTATTCTGGTGGTCTGAAACCAAACCTGAAATATCACCAAGGTATGCCTGTAGTCTAAACTTTAAAATCTTAGCATAATCCTGGACAACAAATGGGGTGCTAAAGTCTTGGACTGTAAAGGCACTAATAGTTTTTGGTGATAGTTTTCACTTCCAAAGAAGAAATAAACAAACGAACTAGTATATCTCCTCTATAAACTGGTCCCTTGGTGTAATCCCACATGGGCTAAGGGACAAATGAATTACAGCTGTAATGGCAAAGTAGCGGGGCTGTCTTAGCAACAAGGGGCCTTGGAAACAGGTTCTCACGGGGGGGAAGGAAAAGGTCCTGAAAAGTGACCCAGCTTCCCAGAAGGTTTACCCAACCTAATGGGGTTTGATGCATGGTCTCATGTTTGTTGCTAGAACAGAGCTGTACAATGAGGCTTCTATAACATCTACAAGACAGTTTATTTGTTACGTTTCGTATCAGGTACACACACAGAATTTAAGAGATCTTCTGTACTGCAAACTGAAGGTGATATGTAGTATTGGAATGTCTCTTAATTATACTTGAGATGCTTGCTAAGGCTCTAAATGCTCCCTTTTCTCATTTCGCTTCATTCCTTGGCTCACTAGAATTGATGTTATCAACCAAAAGTTTAAATGTAAGTGACTCTTAATGGGCTGAAAGCATCTTTGGATGCATTGAAAAAGCATTTGATCCTGTTATTCTTTGTTGTTGATTTTATTTTATTTGCTGTGTGTTTATATGAATGAGGTTGGTGAGTTTGCTAGATTATAGTTCCTCTTGCAAGAACATTTGTGAAAGGAATAATCTATTTATTAAAATGACAAACACGTGAATTGATTTTATGGTTGTGCTCTCCAAATTAGCTGAAACTGTAGATGTTAATGGCTTCTACTCGTATGTGACAAGGCAAATCAACATGCTCTCACCAGCCAGCCAGGTTTTCAATTTGCCAACATTCAGTATCATGTTTAGGGGAATTGCCTAGACAAAATGAATGAAACTTTCTCTAACACTGGCACACGGGATTTCTCTGGGGTTTAACTAACTGCTCCATGGTATTCAGGGTTGTGCAATCCCTGAATCCTTTGATGGGTTTGCATTTAATTAAGCCTTAGGAGAACTTCAATCAAAAGCAGTGATGCTTCTCACATTTAGGATCAAAATTAGGATTAGTATTTGCATAAAATTCAGTTATATCAAAGCATCCCTGTGCCAAGTTTAAGGTCCTGAAGAAACCTGAAGCTACCAAAAATAATAGGCTGTTTTATTTTCTACCCCACCCTCATTTGTTACTTCAAATTATTATCCAAGCCTCAATGCACATATAGGTAAGCACAAAAAGTAATAACAAAGAAATTCTACAATCCAGCAATGTCTTTAACACTAAAAGAAGTGGCAGCATGTAATATAAATGTTAATCTTCAAAAATCTTTTATTGATCTTCTAATACTCTACTAAGCCTCAGAGAGGCTATTAACTCACCCAGATCTCTGTACACAGTGTTACACCTATTGGAAGTCCTGGCTGTCTGTCCAGAGTCCTTGCTTTTAAGCATTGTGCATTACTCAGACTGAAAAATCATTATTTCTTGATTAAAGCAGATTCCTTTGTGCTCCTCAATAGGCAATACTTTTTTAAATCTCCAGATGCCTCTATTTGAAGGCAGGAATTTTCATTCATTTATAAATACTCTGCTATTTAGACTATTACCACTGACTGGCCTTCTCTCAAATTTGGGAGGCCTAAATGTACTTTAAACAAACATTTCTAGAAATGGAATGAAGTCTATAATGGTTTCTCTTGCCACTCACAGATGTTGATGAATGCACATCAAATCCCTGCACTAATGGCGATTGTGTTAACACACCTGGATCCTATTATTGTAAATGTCATGCCGGATTCCAGAGGACCCCTACCAAGCAAGCATGCATTGGTAAGGCAGTTTGCTTTCACATGGGAAAATGTTCCATGAGATACAGGGACCCAGGCTGCTGAGGTTAAAAGTAAATCTATTAAAATGAGACATGGAATGAAGTCAAATGCTGTTACATTATTGCAGATGTAGTTCACACTACCTTCAGAAGTGCTCCTTTAAACATAAATACTATTTGCATATGTAACCCACATATATGACAGCTGGCTTCACAGAAAATCACTTTCTTCTCTTCCCAAGATCATAGCTTCCTCTCTCTAAGTAGCAGCGGTGGCATTACTGCTCCCTGATAAACAGAACTTAAGACCTATAGTCGCTTCGACTCCTGTTTTCTTTGCACCTCACATGTACTCGAACACCAAATCCTGCCTAGTCTTCACTCAGTTTCATTGTCCCACCCACCACGGGTGTCCAGACCCTCCACCTCACTGCTTGTTCGTCTCAGAATTCAGTCAGCAGGTGACTCTGCTTGTCTTCTTTTCATGTCCTGTCCTTCCATTGGTAATTGCTCCAATCAGCTTATTCCAACAGTTTTTTTCGTAACATGTCAGCTCTTAGTGTGGCCAGTCTGTACTCCTTTACTCTTCCTCACCTTCGTGCTCTGACTTTTACTGTCTTCAGCTGCTATGTCAAAAACAGCGGCATCAGTAACTCTGGCTACCCTACCCACCCTCTCCTAAGTCCACTGTGCACCCTATTTCCTTTTTCTCTTGCTCTCTTCAGCTACTATAAGATTGGCCATAAAATTGCTTATCCCTGTCTCTCCAAGAGAAAAATTGGGAGAGGTGGAGATTTTGCTAATGAAGCAAAATGATCTTGTGTATGACAGGTAAAAATAGACTATAGATTTACAGTCACATTGATTAACTTACTGTTTTTAATCAAAAGTTGTTGTAAAACAATAGTATTTGGCGTTTCTTTATTGTCCCAGATATTGATGAATGCATCCAGAATGGAGTTCTTTGTAAAAACGGTCGATGTGTGAACACAGATGGAAGTTTCCAGTGCATTTGCAATGCTGGCTTTGAATTAACTACAGATGGAAAAAACTGTGTTGGTATGGAAATTGCCTGCTCCCTTGCAAAAGATTTTTGAAAGATATACATTTTTATTTAGAACCATATATACGATTACCATGAGAGCTTGCACAACACGTACGTGAGAACTGTTTCAGATGACTTAAGTGGAATAGAAATGCATTTAACTTAAGGCTTTTAAAATGAAAGGACAGATATTTTTGGAAACATTATAACAATGGATAATTTACTGCTGCAAATTTCCTGTGTGGTGTATGTTTAATTGTAAGTACCAGGGGTTTTTTAAAGTCATTATTAGTGCCTACTGTATTTCACATGTTGGGGTTACGACACCAGTGAGACAGAACAGGCCTCCCTCCACCCTCAATCTGGGGGAATATAAAAATGCTTGACATATGTGATAATCAAGTCTCTAAATTTATGGTCTTGGTGATGTCCAGCAATACAATAGATGCCAATACTCCACAGAAATAGTTTATCCACACAGCAACACATGACATTTCACCCCCTAATAAAAATCCAGATCATTTCACTTCCAATGAGGTCTGTCATTGCTATATTCTCTTGTACAAAAGAAACACCCCCTGAATCATATTAACCTTTTATGGTAATCAAAATCAAACACTACTCTTGTAGTTCTAATAGCATCTAAAAAACAAAATTTACTGAATCCTTCTCCTTTTTGTTTTTTATACTAAGGCCCTTCACATACTCCATACTATTTGGTCTCACTCAGTTGGCATTGATATTAGGGAAAAAAAAAACACAAGCACATAGCTCCTTTATGTAGTGGAATATGGCTGGAGATTGTTTGTGGAAGGAGCGGGAACTGGTTCTCTCAAGGCCAGTGGTGTAAGTCACTCTCTGTCTTTCTGCAGATCACGATGAATGTACAACTACCAACATGTGTCTGAATGGGATGTGCATTAATGAAGATGGGAGCTTCAAGTGCATCTGCAAACCAGGATTTGTATTGGCTCCAAATGGTCGTTACTGTACTGGTATGTATGGCTTTGTGATAGAAAGTAACCATGATTGAAACCATCTTTTTTATTTGACTGAATCATGCAAGAATTGCTATAGTTTCTTCATGTGGATTTTATATTATTCACTTCTCTAACTAATTCAGTAAAGCAGGTGTCTAACTTCCTAGAAAAACACACATTGTGGTCTATGGAACAGAAACAGCTTTACAAAAAATAATAATGGTATAGGAAAAATCAAGGGAATGACAGATGGGTTCTAGCAAATAGGGGAGAGACAATGTAGAAATAATTTCTCTCTTCCCTTTGCCCAGTAAAAAAAGAAGCAAAAGTCTTGGAAGGTTTTCATTTTTATGTGTTCTCAGAACAGGAGTCTTCCACTGTTTTTCATCACTGGTTTTGCATTACATCTTTTTCTGTAAGCTAATCTACAGATCATTTGTGACTTTATCATTATCTATAAATCTGACATTAATTTAATGAAGAAATAATTTGAATATTCCTATCAGATGTTTTGTTTCTGAAGCCATTTTGAAGGCCAGGCTCTAGTGATAGCTTTAGTAAGCAAAAAATATGCTCTTAGAAATAAATGACTATATTATATTTATACTCACAATTGGAATTTATTAAGATGGAACGGATTATGCAGTTACTACTTAGAAACAAACATTGTAGTTGTTTTTCTTTTTTTCAGTTTTCTGCTTTTAGACCAAATTAACTCATGAATGTTTTCTGCCTTCAGATGCACAAACTTATCTGAATACCAAGTAATACTCATAATCAATCCATGTAATTTCAGTGAAATTCCAAGAACAGTAGAGAGAGAAAAATCAAGACTGATTCTAGCATTTCTGAATTAAAACAATAGCTTCTTGACTCTTCAAGAAAGGGGAGAATAGTATTAAAGAATACTTAGTTCTAAGAATTGGTTCTACTTAACTGATTTGAATTGAATATCATTTAATATTAAACAGGATTGCCATATGAATAATGAAAGATGAGGATTTTTTTTCCTAATAGGTGAGCTAGGCAACTTTATTCAGTCTTTCTGAAAATCTGCTTGAAAGACTTGCCTCAAAATATAAGATTTGTCATCACAGTTACATGCTCTTCCTCCAATTATAAAATTTAAAACAAAGGATTGTAGTGTAGAGGGAGGGTAGCAAGTAAACTAAGTAAGTTGAAATTTACCCAGAATCAAATTGCATAGCTGGCTTGTGTTCCCCTCTGGGCAGACGTCGATGAGTGCCAGACCCCAGGAATCTGCATGAACGGCCATTGCATCAACAATGAAGGGTCCTTCCGCTGTGACTGTCCCCCAGGCCTGGCCGTGGGTGTGGATGGAAGGGTGTGTGTTGGTAAGTGAAACGTTCTACAACAAACATTCTACAACAGCTCCTGTGTCCAAATGATCTTTGAAAAAGGGACGGAGATATCTCCATACAGTGGAGTCACATTCAGCCATTGAAAGAGATGAAGGACAGTCACATGCAGAAGCATGGATGAACCTTGAAAATGTTAACACCAAGTGAAAGAAGCCACTCACAGAAGACCACATAGTGTACGATTCCTTTTGTATAAAATATCCGCAACAGGCTGTGTCCATAGAGACAAAGCAGATAGGCAGTTGCTTAGAACAGAAAGGTTGGGGGTGGCGGGAGAAGGGAATAATAGCTGAAGGCATTTTTGAGGTGATTAAATGTTCTAAAATCAACTGTTAGTGGTAGTTGTACCTGTCTGTGAATATGCTAAAAATATTCAATTGTACACTTTCAGTGGGTGAATTCTATGGTGTGTGAATTATATCTCAATAAAGCAGCTTAAAAATAAAAGAGAAAGCCCAGCTAGCACCTTTCAAAAGGCTCTGATGAGATGCAAGTCATAAATGCCTGACTGTTTAGTTAATCTGTGTCATCAAACAGTTGATGCAATGTGTCTCCCTCTTCCAGTGAACACCAGGGGCTTTTTATCAGCTTGCTTCTAGAAAATTGTGCGTGGCTTATGTTCTCAACATGAAAAGAGAAATAACTTAGACCACTTTCTGATGCCTTCTGAGATAATTGGTGCCATCGTAAGACCTCACAGAAGTCATACTGGACATCACAAGCTGTGTTGTATCTGGGCATACTCATCTTTGCCTCCTCCTAAAACTGTGTGTAACCCAGAGCTGACTCTACCAAACTGGGCCACAGTGGACAGACAGAAAAGGGGAAGGTGCCCTCTCCACAGGGCTGCTGTGCTCAGTCTCATGGCCGTCGTCAATGTGGGATGCGCACACACATCTCATTGTTTAATGCAGCCAAACATCTCATTGTTTTAATGAGATATATCACAAGATCAGAAGAAATCAACAGGTGACTCACTTTGCCTAACAGGCAGATAAAATTATTTATAATAAGGGTTATCTCTTTGATGGAATTACCACGTCAGTATATTGCTTAAAAGCTATACTGCTTCTCTGGCTCATCTCATGATCTGACTCTTTATAGTTTACTGTCTCATAAAGTTGTAGCATATTTTATGAGAGTTTAGAGTGAGAGCATGAAGCAGAATAGTCTTCCTAAGTACTTAGCATGACATATTGGAGGAAGAGCTTTGGAGGGCACAGAAGCCTGAATCTGAATCCTGGCTCAGACAGAACCTTCCAGGGCTTCAAGCTACTCCACAGTCCCTCAGAACTGCCCTTGTTCAACTGTAAACTCTGGGTAACGCTTACTTTCCTATGGAGTTGTTGACCTGAATGTGCAGTGAGCTAATGCCTGTAAAGCAGCCAGCACAATGCCAACGGTGCATAGTGGTAGTCCTTATTTTTATAACTGGATTTATTGAGAGTCTGAGATTAAAAGGTAGCCACAACTGTAACCCACAGGTTGAAAAAAAAGACCTCCTAACTCAGAAAGTTGAAGTAAGCAGTGTCATCTCCAGGTAGTTTAACTTCACTGCACTTCATTTGTTCATGAGCAATCCTGAAATAGAAATAACAAAGTGTCGTTTTGCATACAGTACCACCACTGATTAGAGCTCAAAGTGACATTTATAACTGGGACTGTACCTGGCTCAAAGAAAGGTCTGTGCAGGTAAGTGGGATCACGGTGCTCACATGGCACAACAGACTTCTTGGACAGGAAAAAAGAGAGTTGTTGGGATGCCCGCCTCACTCAACAAACGTGTTGATTTCCCAGCACTATTAGATGCTAAAGATACAAAGCAAAAGATTAACAGATACCCTCTACAAGCTTCCCATCTGGTGGCCACTTAGGTTAAAGAAGCCTTTAGTTTTGATGCCTCTTTGTCTCTGTCATCCCCTAAATCCCTGTTCTTGTGTCTCCTTTAGATACTCACATGCGCAGTACGTGCTATGGTGGCATCAAGAAGGGAGTGTGTGTCCGTCCTTTCCCAGGCGCCGTGACCAAGTCTGAATGCTGCTGTGCCAATCCGGACTATGGTTTTGGAGAGCCGTGTCAGCCATGCCCTGCAAAAAATTCAGGTAGCTATCCTTGCCACCTTCTGATGGTAAAGAACCTGTAAATGTAATTTTTAGATATTTGGCCAAAGACTCCATCAGCTCTGCAGTACATTGTCATTATTCTCAACTGAAGAAAATAAATCCAAATCTGTGTTTGTATGTGAGACATGTAATAAGCAGATTTGGTTTATATTTACCTATGCTCTCTCATCAGAGAGAACACACTGCAAATGGAAAATTTTATTTGCTGATCCAGTTATGATTGTTACAACAGATTTTTTTACATGAATATGTTAACCTCAGTGTCCTTAATCTGTGATGTCATTGTGAAGATAAATAGCATAAAATTTATTTATCCCTTTTAAGGTTATGATAAATTCATGGGAATGTGATTTTACTTGCTTAAAAATAAAATCTCAACACAGAATGGTCTTAAGTTGCAGTCTGTCAGGAGTTCCAGAAAATAATAAATTCCTATTTTAATTTTATCATAAATATGGGCACATTACATGGTTTAATTCTTGGACTGTTGTATGGCTCTCATTCATTCATATTTTTGATGAAACCTGTGTTGAATATTATAAGTACAATAGGGATGCAAAAATAAACACAATCTCTTTTTTTTTTTCTTTAAGGTTGGAAATAGTTGAGAACATAGACGGGTTAAACATATAAATTACAGTTTAGTTTGATAAGTGTCTTAAAAAAAGGTATAAAAAGAGCTAGATGAGCACAAAGCAAGGAGCAGTTATTTGCTCAGGGAAGCCAGGAGAGACATCGCAGAGTGGGGCTTGTTTAGTTTGATCTTAAAAAAAAGAAACAAGAACTTTCCAGGTAGAAGATGGAAGACACGCGCTCAGGCAAAGGAAATGGCTTGCAACTCCATTAAAAATCCAAAATGGATTTTTCAGACCTGAGCAACACAATTACAATTTCTCTAGAAGAATTGCTGAACGTGACTTTTTTTTTTACAAAGAAGAGTTAACAAAGGAAATATTGCCCAAAAACATACTTCAGTCAATTATGCGTTCTATACAAGAAGTACAAAAATGGATAACATGACTAGATAGAAAGATCAATAAGCGAGCAAAATGAATCTAGAAGCAGATGTGAATATAAATGTGTAGGCTATGGTAAAGACTGCATGTAGATCAGTGAGGAAAAATTGAGCTAAATAATGGATAGTGTTGATAAATGTTGGAAAAAAAATATTAGGTCCCTACATCACAGCTTACAAAGTAATTTTCTCCTAGAATGGAGTATAAACTGTGTTGTCATTTTTTAATGGTAAACGATTCTCAAAGCAGACACCAAAGACTGAAATGCACATATAAATGGGAAAAAATCTTTTCCTTAATTTATAAGAAGTTTACATGAATCAATAAGGAAAACTGGAAAAAAGGGCAGTGTACACAAAGATTTCACAAAGTGGAAATGCAAATGGTGGAGTCCCATATAAAAAGATGCCCAGTCTTTCTAAAATAAAAAGGGAATTAAAATGTCAGTTTTGCTTATGAGATTGGTGAAGCATAGATGACTGATTTTCCCAGTGTCTGGGAAGGTATACAAACTGGAAACTTTCATTCTGTTGACACAAGAGTAACCTGGGCCACACAGGGAGAAGAAGGAGAAACATCAGAAGCCTCAAAGAGAGCATAAATTTTGAGCAGTCTTATTTCTAAGAGGTTAACTTAGTGACATACCTGAACTTCTTATTACTTACTGTAATTGCTGAGAGTTGGACAAACCTAATTTCATCATTAAGAGATTGACAGAATAAAGGTGCTACATCCACATACCTGAGAAGAAAATGCTCAATTGTCTATTCAATGAGATGATAGCATGAAAAAATGTCTGTGGTGGAGCACAGTGAGCCCACATCTGCTCCCCGCTCACAGCTTCTGGGACCTGAGCAAATGACTTCACACCTGTGTGCCAGTTTTCTCAGGTGTAAAAGAGGGAAAATAACAGTATATCTGGTTAGTGGTATTGGGAGGATTAAATAAATTATTAGATGTAAATAATGATTAGATATGAAATGCCGTAACAATACCAGGCACGTGGTTAGAGCCATTCCATGAGTCGTGTCTATTATTCTTTCATTATTGAAAGAGAAAAAAACATTAAAAAGCAATCTGTATAAGACAATTTAGGTTTTTTTAGATTTTTTATATTTAGAAAATATTTATACTATTTATCAGTATATTAACAGTATTCAGGGTGATAATCCCAAGTGATTTTTACTTATTATGCATGTCTGTGATTTTGGAATTCTTCAAAGTACATGCTAGAAAATGGTAATTTTTTTATTTTAAAAATTATTGCATGTGGTTCTTACTAATGATCATCTTAGGCTTTTGTAAATAATTTGTGTGTGAAACAGATACAGTTTAGGGTTTTTCATTTCTCTGTTTTTACCTTACAGCTGAATTCCATGGTCTTTGTAGCAGTGGAGTAGGAATCACTGTGGATGGAAGAGGTATCTTCAATTCTCAATTTTGTAATAATATGTAATTGACAACTTTATGATTATAACCTTATGATTATATTTAACATCATAAAAATATGTCAGTGTGAAATATAGAATTATCTCCTAGAACATTGGTTATAAGGTATATTATATTAAGTGGTATGTAGATGAATATTTTTCATTGATAAAAATTTATGTATTAAATATGCATCATTAAACTGTCACTAAACAATTATACCCATGATTTTATAGATACCATTGAGAAGAGACTAGAGTTAGTATTTAGGTTAAAAGAAAGAAAAGAACAAGTTCAGTTAAAGAAAACAAATGTTAAATAAGGGTGCTAACATGACTGTAAAAAAAAGTCGTTAAGAAATATTCAATATGGATCAAGTTTGGGCTTTACTGCCCTAAAAAGAAATTAAGACTATTCATGCCTAAGAATACTACATGTTTCTATTACCCAACTAAAGAAGTGATTCATTAAAGTTTTCTTATTTTAAATCTTGCAAATATGATTAACAAAATTCCAATATGGAACCTTGAATATTAAGTACATACATGTTTATAATTTTTAAATTCTTTTGTGTGTTAATATACATATAGTTTCATTCTTTTTAAAAATAAAACTGCAGGGTGCTGTTAATCTTCACTTTACATGTATATTCATCTACTTTTGTGTTTGTGAAGAGTGCAAATTATAGATTAGTTGACAATAATATTGTATCTTTCCAATGAACATCAGGAACAGAGTAAAAATCAAACTTTTACAAGGATGTTTCTCCCAAAAATAAAATGAAAAGGCTGACATTTCTGGAGTATTTAAGGTCTTTCAAATTCTAGAGAACAGTAGTTAGGTTTAAAATTTGAACATAGTGTCCAAAATCTGATTTTCTGCTCTATTTTTTTATCCTATCTCAATGCAGCCTCCCCAGAAGGGCCAGCCACCTGTTGGAACTATATAGATGCCCACATCACATAAGCACATCATTCCTCAAATCTCACAGCCCATGGATGACACAGAATAATAGTGTTCATAGCTAGTTATAAAATGTCATGTTCTCAAGCATCCACATTTGAACTGTCCTCTCCATAATTTCAACTTACCAACAATGAAAAGCATTTATTAACTATCATATTACTTAGCTGACTATTAAAAATTATAATAAAATAGATATATCTCATGCTTTTGGGATCATAAAATTTCATAGGCCACCCTAATAAGTCTTTTTCTTTTCATTAGATGGTTATAATACCTAAGAAGTCGAGTTTTCCTTCGGATGTCAAGCCAACAGCCTATAAACTTATTAATTTTATCGTAAATGCAGACACAGTACATGGTTTAATTCTTTGAATTCCTGCCAGCTTCCTCTGCTTTTCTTTTGACTTACCAGGGAACTGTGCTGTATCTCTCAATAATTTTGTTCTCTTCCTCCTTATTTTTACTTCTTTTTCTTCCTGAAAGACAGGCAAATTGTGGGTTTGCAGAGCTAAACACTTTGTATGCTGAGTGAGCTTGATTAGACCTACATGTAGCAATGAACAATAAAATGTCTGTGAGCATTAAACTTTACACATTTCATGCAGATATCAATGAGTGCGCTTTGGATCCTGACATATGTGCCAATGGAATCTGTGAAAACTTACGTGGTAGTTACCGCTGTAACTGCAACAGTGGCTATGAACCAGATGCTTCTGGAAGAAACTGTATCGGTAAGTGATCTGTTACATTTCTACAAGAGCCTTTCCTATAGGTTAATCCCATAGATAGGAGAAATCAAAATACAGGTGAGTGACTGAAACTAGAGATCAAAAAATTCTGTTACGGCTTGTTGCTGCACCTGTGCGGGCCCGCGGGGCTGCGCTGGCTGGTGTTAGGACACCGGGCGGTGGCTTCCCACCGTTCCCAGGGCTGTGGCGGTGAGAGCCTTGCCCCGCGGCGGGGATTGTGACATGCCTGCCTGAGGAGGGGCGCCCGTGGGGCCCGGGGCGGGAGGGTGGGTGTGGAGGTGAGCGCAGGCACCTGACTCCGTGCCCCGCTACTCTGAGGGAGGCTCTGCGCCGCCGCTGGGGCCATTGGAGGAGGCGGGCGACCTCCGACCCCGGCCGCTCCTGGAGGAGGAGGTGGAAGGAGATGCCTACATAGAAGAGTGACAGCAGCTGGACTAAATGTTTTACTGCTGAACTGGTTCCTCAGGTATCCTGGCTCTGGCAATTGCTATGGGAGAGTGGATGACTGTTATAGATCCAGGTCTGTCTTCAGAAAGCAAAAATCTTTCTCAATATACCTCAGAAACAAAGACGTCTCCATCAAGTTTATACTCACAGCAAATGCTGTGTTCTTCAATACCTTTATCAAAAAATGTGCACAGCTTTTTCAGTGCCTTCTGCACAGAAGAGAACATTGAGCAAAGTATTTCGTATCTTGATCAGGAATTGACTACTTTTGGCTTTCCTTCATTGTATGAAGAATCCAAAGGTGAAGAGACAAAGAGAGAACTAAATAAAGTCGCTGTTTTGAATTGTATGAATGAGCTACTTGTACTTCAGCGGAAGAATCTTCTAGCTCAGGAAAATGTGGAAACACAGAATCTGAAACGGGGAAGTGATATGGACCATCTACAGAACTGCTATGCGAAACTTAAGGAACAACTAGAAACCTCTAGGAGAGAGATGATTGGGCTTCAAGAAAGAGACAGACAGTTACAATGCAAGAACCGGAATTTACATCAGCTATTAAAAAATGAAAAAGATAAAGTACAGAAATTACAAAATATCATTGCAAGTCGAGCTATTCAGTATAATCATGATACGAAGAGAAAAGAACGTGAATATAATAAATTAAAGGAACGTCTACATCAACTTGTTATGAACAAAAAGGATAAAAGAATAGCTATGGAAATTCTAAATTATGTGTGGAGAGCTGATGGAAAAAGAAGTTCCTGGAGGACTGGTAAAACTGAAGCCAGGAATGAAGATGAAATGTATAAATACCTCTTGAATGATTACGAGTATCATCAGAAACAAATCCTAATGGGAAATGCTGAACTTAAGAAGGTTCATCAGCAAATGAAAAAGGAAATGATTTCTCTTCTTTCTCCCCAAAAGCAGAAACCTAGAGAAAGAGCAGATGATAATACAGCAACTGTTACCTCTGATGTTGAGGAAGATGCTGGGGAACTAAGTAGAGAGAGTATGTGGGACCTTTCCTATGAAACTGTGAGAGAACACCTTACAAACAGCATCAGAAAACAGTGGAGAATTTTGAAAAGTCATGTAGAAAAACTTGTTAACCAAGTTTCAAAGGTACACCTAGAAGGTTTTAATGATGAAGATGTAATCTCACAAGAAGACCATGAGCAAGAAACTGAAAAACTCGAGTTAGAAATTCAACAGTGTAAAGAAATGATCAAAACTCCGCAGCAACTTTTACAGCAGCAGCTTGCTACTGCATGTGATGACGACACCACTTCACTGCTACGAGACTGTTACTTGTTGAAAGAAAAGGAACACCTCAAAGAAGAATGGTCTCTATTTAAAGAGCAAAAAAAGAATCTTGAGAAGGAAAGACAAAGCTTTACGGATGCAGCTATTCGCGTAGGGTTGGAGAGAAAGGCATTTGAAGAAGAAAGAGCCAATTGGTTAAAGCAGCAGTTTTTAATTATGACTACCTTTGACCACCAGAACTCAGAAAATGTGAACATTTTCAGTGCCTTCTCAGGAAGTTCTGATCGGGACAATGTCACAGCGCACTCAAAGCCACAGCAGAAGACGCTTCACAGCGTGTCTAACAGGTCTCCAGTCTGCATGTCTAAACTGACTAAATCTCTTCCCGCTTCTCCTTTGACTTCAGACTTTTTCCAGATGTTCTCCTGTGCATCTGAGCATAGTTCAGTCAATGTACTGAATATAACTCCTGAAGAAACTAAACCAAGTCAGGTTGAAAGAGAGTGTACAAATCAGAAATGGAGCGTGGCATCAAGACCTGGCTCACAGGAAGGTTGCTGTAGTGGGTGCTCCTTGACCTCCACAAATGCTCATATAGAAAAAGATGATTTACCTTAGATACTTAGACTGGAACGTTTTTCACGAACATGTTCACCACATTTCACATCTAAGTTGAAACAGGGTGTGTCATAAAATCAATGATCTCTAATAATGTAAGATGGTCTGAGTTGTTTGTTTGGACTTCCCAGTTCCTCCCCCAAAGAGCTAAATATTAAATCTATTTAAAAGGATATAAAAGCTTTGGAAATGTATTTTTAGTAACAGAAGCATCTGATTCTGTGAATAAAGGAATGTATAGGTGTTTGGATGAAAACAAAAGCACTAGAATGAGTTTCCTCTTATAGGTATTAAAAATAGCACTTTTAGGAAACTGATTATTATAAATGTTTAATTTTGTCTCATATATAGTTGGCATTGGAAATTTAGCCTTTACTGTATACTGTAGATTTTTAACAAAGCAAGTTCTATATTTATTATGTTTAGTGTGATTTGGAATTTACTCTTTCATATGTTTTAAATAAAGTAAAATTTATGTATGTTTTGTACATAGATATACATGATTATGTTAAGAGGCTTTAAGATGTAAAGTTTTACACATCCATAATTACAGTATTTCATGCCAGATTTTTTTTTAGTGGTATTCTGTTTACAGATGTGTTAGAGCCATTGCCACATCTAAGAATTTTTTGAACCCATCTGAGCAATAAATACTCAAAAGCTAAAAAGAAAATTCTGTTACACAATAGCAAACTTCTTAGTGACACAACTTAGTATTTAAATTGTTCTTTTCCCAAATGAATTGATACATACTCAATTATTCACCTGTCATTTTTCTGCAAATATCCTAATCCTGTCATTTTTCAATACAAAATGGACTTCAAAATTAATGAGGCACTATGGATAATAGTAAGTCAAGACAATAAAGTATTACAAGTCTAGAGAACTTTGGCTTATAAAGAAACAACAGTTGCTACAACACATCTAATCATGATAACTGAGAGATGTTTCTGTAATTTATAAGAGACTATTTGATAAAAGTCAACTGTGTAGTTCATGTATTCAAGAATTTGTGGTGAATCTAGATTTTTCCATAAAGCACTTGAGTCCACTTGTATCACATGTTATTCAGTCTGTCATTATACATAAAAATTTTCATACCTAATCATTGATGACTCTTACATCCAATACTTGATGGTTCTGGTTAAAAAGAAATACATTTTTCTGGGTTTATAGTACTGCCTTTAATTGCTGAATATAACCATCTGATTTTGAATTGAAGACATACAGATGGATGTGTAAAACTGTATTAAATATCATGTCCTTATACTAGATTTAGCGTAGGACTTCAAAATATCTTTTTTGAGGGACCTCATTTCAGTGCATAGCATGGAGTAATGGGTAAATAAATTGTGATGCAGTCACTTGATAAAACATACAATTATGGGGAAATTTTGGCAATGCTTTAAGTAAGATAATTTTTTAAAAGATTCAAAATTATAGCAAAAAATAGAGCATCCAAAGGGAAAAAGATCAAACACAAAAAATAGTATTAGCAGTGGTGATGGAATTTTAGGACATATTTTTCCAATCTCTGTTTCACAAATGTTCACAGTGCACATGTGTGTATCCTTTGGTAAGGTACGATTGTTCCTTGCAAGCTATGATAACTTTAAGTAAAAGGAACTATTCATTCCAAACTGTAGTTCTTATTTCTTTCTGTTATTAACCACACTTGCAAAAATGAGAGTGGGAGCTTCTTCCACCCGAGCTTTAGATGATATTTTCTGTGCTGTTCTAGACTGCTTAAAGAATATACAAAATGCATCATTAATTGATCACTACTAAATAATTGTTTCTGAGCTAAAAACATAATGGGAAAAGATGAGTAACATTTTTGCTTAACTGCCATTTAACACATTCTTTGTTAGAAATTTAATCAGAGGAAAGTTTTCTAAAAAATCATGCTATTTTTGTTATATATAAGCAAGTATATAGGCAAGTGAGTTTTAATCTTTTTATATATTTAATTGTGCTTTAAAATATATTAATATAACACCACTTCAGGACAATAAGAAAATGAAAAATAAAGTAGTAATGTGCCTTTTCCAAATATTACAGACCTCCCAGGGACTTCAAAACATTTTTTAAACGCCTCTGGAATAAGAATGTTCCATTTGAATAAAACCCAATATAGTTTGCTTAGGCTCAAAGAATGTGCAGTGGGTAGAAAGAAAACTAAGTTAAGGAGAGGGGTAAAGGGGAAAACAAGTAACAAAAGTACATCATCGTTGATCACCATTTCTTGGCTGCATGTATTGTTGGCTGCTGTTCATTTCTTGGCCGCGTGTATCTCCTGTCTTCTGATGGTTGCTTCCAGACATTGATGAGTGCTTGGTGAACAGACTGCTCTGTGACAATGGGCTGTGCCGGAACACACCTGGGAGTTACAGCTGCACATGCCCCCCCGGGTACGTGTTCAGAACGGAGACAGAGACATGTGAAGGTAAGAGCTGCCTTCCTGCCTTAGCTGTGAATAGCAAGCGCCTGGCTGTGCAGAAACTAGCACCCAGTTGGACATCAAGTCCTTTGATGAAGCAATATAGTAAGAAGAGTACTGTCTGAATATTTTTTAAATTTGCAATCTCTTTCAGCTAATCTGCCAGTGTTAGAAATAATGTGCACCTAACCCAGTTTTGTTCCATTCAGATAAAACATCAAATATTTGGAAGTTAGTGGGGGTAAAAAAGGAAAGGAGACAGCTTGTTTTACTCACTGAAATAAAATGTCACATTTTTATTTGCTTTGTTTTCCCCTTTTTAAGACCACTATGACACATCAGAGGAGCACACTAGAGGAACCTGAATGGTAATGGCAGTCAGCTAGCTTTGGGCATTTTCTTTATTTGAAATGATTGATATACATCAGAGGTTGGGCTGGAAAATATTTGGTGCCTGAATAAAAATGGTCGCCTTAATGAAATTTATAGTCTAAGAAAATTTTTCTTTCCATTTTATAATTTAAAAGTTACCATTTGGACTTAGAGATCATAAATCACTATTTCAAAACTTCCATTTCTTTTAACCCCATTTTCCTGCAGTGGAAGTTACGTGAATGAGTTAAATGCTCAGGAAAGGCTTCATTTTCAGGGCACTCCAGCTAAGCAATGAGTGCATTCAGTTATGCTTTTGTTTCTTGATCAAAGTCCTCTGTGTTTCAGAATAATCTGTTGTATGACTACTAGTCATTGTTCCTTTAAAGTGTCCCTGTGTGGGCCTCCAGAATGTCCCATGACATGCTCAAATCAAATAACTATTTCCAAATAGTAACTTAAAAAAAAAAGATTTTATCTTCAATTATTTGAGTAGCGCTTTACTTATCTGTTTAAGTATCTGTTCCCTAGTGACTCCATAGCCAAGAAAAGTGCAAGAGTAATATTATGCAAAAAGATGTTAACATTCTCCATCACGTTGTATAACTTCAAAGCATTCTTGTGAACAGAAACAAGTTAGGATTTGAACAAGACGCTGGAACACAAATGACTCAGCTGGAGTCACTGAAATGGAATTATAAAGTGCAATTCTAAGTTTGGGGTGAATTGGTGGGACCCCTGAAAGACAGTAATTAGCCTGAAGCAAGAAAAGAAGAGAAAGGAAACCTCAGTATACAAGGCAGTTTTTCTAAACTTAGTGCTGATAACTGTTCCCCGCCTGTCCACCACCTTGTGCAGAAGCTCCTTGCACAAGAGAAGCCCTTCCATTCTCAGTTAAACTACTTGAAGACTCATCTTCTCCATTGATGAGCAGGGGCCACACTACAGAGTTCTGAATATCTTTCTGCAAGATAGAAAAGCTCTTTTTTAAAAAAAATGAGTGTAGGCTTCCCATATGTATTCAGCTAGAGTCTATTTCCTAGCACCTTCTCCACCTCTGACACATACCATCATCCTTCAAAATTGCTCTGAGAAACATAGACAAATATATAGACATGTATATGGTGAAATAAAATTTTAAATCTGTCAAAAATGAAAAACAGATCTTTACTAATTCCTTTCCCTTAAGTTCCACCTTACCTGACAACCTAATGGATAATTTCTTTGGAAAAAGTATGTACTGAATTTTATAAAAATGATATACTAGCCATATTTCTTCTGTGAGTTTTTTGGAAGGTGGGAGAAGGGATTTCAAGAGGTTTTTTTAATTTATTTATTCCCGGCTTTCTATAATTTCTTCCCACTGCCCTATATCAGTTTTATCTGTTGTCTGTTAGAAGGTAAGCTTCTGGTAAATGTCAGGAAACTCTGAAAGAAGGAACAACTTAAGGTATCATCTTGATTTAACTGGGAAGCTGGTGATGATAGGACTGGTTCTCTTTCTGGCGCTGTTGTGAGAGAGGCACGCCACGGGGAACTAAAGGCCAGTGTCTTTGACGAAGTTTGTTTTGTATACCAGGTTGTCAAGGATATTTAGAGCATATTCCTTCCCTTTTAACAAGTAAGGTGGAATTAAAGGGTACTAAGAGCCAACATACACAAGCATAAATAAAAGGCAGGGACTCGCTTATGTGAATGATTGACAAGTGGGAGCAAATGGTGTTTAATAGTGTAACATCGGATGATTACGTAAATATGAAAGCACATTAATACTAAATCAGGCAAGAGTGAGGGTTAGAAAGAGCACTCTTCACTTATTTCGTCCAAAAGATCATTGTTCCTGATAAATCGGCGCCTTTTCTTTCGTGTGAACTATATTTTACATCTGTCATTCATAAGAAAAAAGTTCATGTCATGTAAATAAAAGAGAAATGATAGAGAAATATTTTGGCCCTAAGCCTTATCACATTGGTTGAAATAAAAATGATTTATCCTGAGAAACCTAGCCAAATAACTGTTATGTTATTTCTGTACCTTCTCCCCACTGTAAGTTAGGTTATTTGCATTTTATTAAGTGTTTGGGGAAAAGAAACTAAAATAGACCTGAAGGGCACCGATCTCTTTTTCCCCCTGGGGTGCCTTCCTCGCTTCCAAAACCACTGTGTTCACATAGCCCATTGCTCTGTCTGAAGCAGTTCTTCTCATTCTGATCTTTCTAAACTAATTTCCAAAGACTAGGCAAGGAATTATTAGCAGATTCATTGCACACTCTAGCTTTCTCTCTGTATTTACTATATTCACTAATTATGCTTGTCATTCATGTTTTCAACAAGTTGTTTTAAATATATAATAAATAGCAGTAATAATACAGCTCCTCTGATATTTCAGACTGAAGTTACAAAAAATTTACTTCTTTTTGCTGGAGCTTGGAGAGACTGTGAAAGTTAAAATTTTTACATCAAGCACTGTGGTTTAGATTGTGTTTCCAGTGACATAACTAGTCAAATGTAAACCAGATGTGCTTTGAAGTTCATTTCCAGGAATGTACAGTGAACTGTTTCAATGCCTGGTTCCATGATAATTTATAACACAAAAACATTGTATTTAAAGAAAAACTAAACAGTTGATATTTGTAGCTGTCATTGCATGTGTTTATAGTTTTTTAGTTCATAATTAATTTAAAATAGGGATTTTGAAAATATATGAAATTGACATTTTTTTGTGGGGGGAGCTTCCAAATGAAATTAATAGGTGAATTATATACCATCTGTCCTTGGATTAGTTATCTGTTTCCTTTTTTGGCTGATTCCTTTTTTACATTGTGTTTTTACTGAAAGAATTTCAGTCCTCTAGAATCGATGGTTTCACTCTAGATCTATGCTCTTTTTACAAAACCTGCTCTTCTTTTTTTCTTTTAAGAGGCTTTCTTGCTATAAACAACCTGAAAGAAAGTTACATTCATATTTCCTGAAACAATTTCTACCTCAAGAATTAAATCAGTACCTGAGTACTTCAGCCGTTAGGATGTAGCAAAGAAGGAACATCCCTGTTTTCCCCACTGATGTTTAAATTTATACGTCTATTAAAAAAAATGTTCACTGATTTGAACATTAACGATGTTCAGTGTTCAAACTGCCTCTTACGGACCATTCCAGTTTATGTTTGACCTGAGATGTACAAGAGTAAGCATTACAATCTTCTAGTTATTTATTTGCATGTTTTCCTAAATACAGTGTTTTCCATTTAATTCAAGGAGGTATTTAGGGGGAAAAAAGCATTCTGGCGAACTCAGAAGCCCTAGTGTTCCACAAAAGAGAGTCTTGAGGTATGCTGACCTGTTGCAGATAGTTAACCAAGTACAGAAAGAAATCCATGTCACCCTTCTTTATAAATTGGATGGTTGAGTTTATACTGTTTCCTTCTTGAACATCAACAGGAATTGTTTTGATTATGATACATGATTTGAGTTAGGACTCAAATTAGTGATAGTAATGGTCTCTTTGAAGGAACTTGAAGTTTTTTCTCTTTTTAATTTACCCAATCAGTTTTGTGTTAGAAAAATCTCTCCACAGCAAGCATGCAAATGTGAACAGGCTAAAGAGAGAGGAAGATGGGTAAGGACTAGAGGGAAAAGCTATCCCCAGTATTAACATTTCATGCTTTATTTTCCTGATTTGTATCCAGAAGTTTGGAATTCAAGCCAGCATTGTGATACTTTGTGTCTTATACAGACTTTTTAAATTCTTCCAAAACCTCACGGAGCCATAAATGACAGGGACAGTGGCCTTTTGTTTGTCCGTAGTGTGCTGCACCCAGGAAAATGTTGCTTTTCGCGGAATCAGAATTCCAGTTTCCCAAAGGACAATTACAACTTATTATGGGGGAGCATTAATCCAATTTATTTTAAAGTTGTAGTGAAACAGTGAAGAGTGCCATAATAAACCCTTTCAAACAAAATACGCGGATTCCTGTAACTCTCCTGAGTCGCCTGTCATGTCTCTGTGTGACCACACTGTAAAATTCATGTCTCTGTCCCCCATTCACTTGATGCCTCCTAGGTCCATATTAAAATTACAAGAGCCAAGTTTACCAGACATTCTGGCAGAGCATGGCTTGTTGGAATAATATTTTCCAGAAACCCATGGCAGTTCTAACAGAATCTTTTCCTTCTGGATTGTAGATATAAATGAATGTGAAAGCAGCCCCTGCGTGAACGGGGCCTGCAGGAACAACCTCGGCTCTTTCCACTGTGAATGTTCTCCCGGCAGCAAACTCAGCTCAACAGGACTGATGTGTATCGGTAAGAGTGGTGCTTGGTGCCCATGTTTCCCTGCGCCACAGACGTGAGCCGAGGTCTCAGGTTCCACTGTGCACAGAAACAGAACTACAGGAAGCTAATAATTAGTTCTTTTAGTTGTTTTCTCTCATTATCAAGATAGGAGTAGAACCTGATAACGCAAGCCGACCAGTTCTTAAACTCTGTTAGTTTCTAGGACGTGTTCCTTTCATAGAAGGAGATAAATTATGTTATAAGTTATGAGCATTTCCATACCATACACATATTTATATTGGCTACCCTACCAGTGTCTTAGGTACCATAGAATCAAATCCCTACTACATACTTTTCATAAGCAACCTTTAATGGTAAACAAAAATGTGATGGAATTTGGATGCCGTTAACAAGACAAGAATGTGACAAACAGAAATAATTTATTAGTTTTTTCATTTCTCTCATCAATGATAAATGTATGGGCTCCAAAAAGAGAAGATAATTGTTTTCTTGCTTTCGGAAATCTCTGGGGAGAAAGATTCCAAATCTGCCAAAGGAACATCTTTTAATATGTTTTAAACCATTTAAGGTCAGTGCTTGATAATGACAACAGGACATGTATAAAACAAGATACTCTGATCTATTACTGTGAGGAACAATTCAGTATGTGTAAGGGAAAAACCTGTCCCAGTAATTTTCTACTGCTTCTCATGTCTGCAGCCCCATTGGCTGGGCATATCACAGTTCAGATCATTAGCTAGTATCTACCTTTAAAGTGAACTAAGTATATATTTCCAGATGGTTAGGAAAATATTTCAGTTTTTCATGGTGCCAAATAAATTGGCAGTTTCTGTTATCTAACCAGTATGAATTTTCAATTTAATATTTGCCAAAGGCACTAGTATTTTCAGTATTGTGTGTGAGGTTGACAGTATTCAGCTGTATGCTCAGAGTACCTGTTTGTTACATGAAGAGGAATGGCTAAGTCTGAAGTTATCAATGCAAACTTTCCCTTTGGAAATGCCAGCTCTTCCATCTCCTGGGAAGCACAGCTGGTGAAATCTGAGCCTTGCTCAGCTCTCTCCATATTAGGAAATAGACTGCCATCCGCCTGGGGCATTACTTTCTTTTTGAATTCCGGTTTGGGAGGGAGCTGGTGGAGGGGGTAAGGCAGAAATATTTTTGCTAAGCCACAATTTCCAACTGAGATAGAGTCATTTCATTATGCAAAGGAAATGAACACAGCATTAGTCAATTAATGTCTCAGAAAACAAAACCTGTATGTCACTTGGGCATCAAAGATATCTTAGTTTTTACTTCATCACAAAAACTTCTTTATGTTGGCCTTTTACCCTCATGCTTATTGATGACAAACGGACAGACATTTCATTCCCAGGTCATTATACTGGGCAACTAAACACCACTATATTTTTCTAAGCCAATGTGTGACGTGTTTTCAGGGGTCATGATAAAATTTGAATATCACAGCCCATAGCTGCTCAGGAAAAAATTTACTTAGTATTTTAAAATTTTAGACATTGTTTTATCTGCATGTTTCATTAAACACTGAATTCTAGTTTTAGAAAGGAAATACATAGTAAAATATACACAGGAAGAATTACAAACTTTTTAAATCAACTGCCCAGTGGCTCAAATCAGTGATTAGCCTACAAACTGCTCTTTCATAGGATCCAAATCTCTAAATTTAGAACTGAATAGAAATTCTCCAGTGTGATTACTAATCTGACAGTAAGCTAGAGCATATATGAATTGGACTATCTAGGGATTTAGAATCTATCCTGCAAACTTCCTAAATATAAATCAATCTTAAGCTGTTCTGCAAACCGCTTGAGAACACTATTGTATTCTGACTGAAAAAAGATTGAATAATGTAATAGAACAATACCTCTGATTGATTTTTCCTGTCATACACTCCTCACCTCTGACGGCTCTGTGGAATCCAGACCGCTTTCCCTCATCTTTGGCTTGTGCCTGCCTTCTGTGGGCATGAGAAGGGCGGTGGCTTTGCTGTCCTCAGACTGTGGCCTATTCTTGTTGCTCATCTTAGCCTAGTAGCACTGTTTGGCCCAGTTCATTGCTCACCTCTACTCAGGAAGCTTTTCATTTTTGGCCTTCTTTCTCCTTTCACTTTTCTGTCCCTTTTCCATTTCTTTGTTATGTCTCCCATGTCCTACGCCCTCCAACATGAGGTGTCCCAGAGCTCAGTCCTTGGACCCCTTTGCCTCTCTGTCTACACTCATCCTTAGATGGCCTTTACCTTGACTTGCAAATTTATCTCTCCATCCTCAACCTCTCCACGAACTTCAGACTTCTTTTTTTTTCAGACTTCTATTTCCATCTGTCTGCACAGTGTCTCCATTTGGATGGCTGACAGACATTCCAAACTCAGCATGTCTAAAACATAATTCCTGTCTTTCAGCTGGAACCTCTGTCTCCTAGAATCATTTCCGTTTTGATAATGGCAACTCCATTCTTCTACTTGCACACCCCCAAACCTTGGAGTCATCTTTGATCCCCTTCTCTCAAACTCCACATTGAATCCATCAGCAAATCCGATTGATTGTGTTTGAAGTTTATCCATCTTTCAACGACTTCTCATCGCCTACTCCGCCGACAACTCCCAGTCCAAACCACCGTTGTTTCTCTTCTTGATGACTGCTTAGCCTCTCTCTTATCTCTGTTTTCTCGTATCTGCTACCTGCCAGTCTGTTTTACATGGCACTCCTGGTAATTCTTTTAAAACAAGTGAGGACGTAACTCATGTGGCTGGAATGATCTTTACCCAGGTTTCCATGTTTTGATCCTTCATGTCTCTACTCAGATGTCATATTGTAAGTCAGGACTTCTCTGACCACCCTAGATAAAACAACAGGCTTTCTTCCCTTTACACCCCCAAGGCTCTTTACCCTGTATTTTCTTAATTTCAGATTTCTAAACCAAGCCCTGACAACATAACTGTATAACTACATCTACATCTAGTGTGTGTATATGCACACACACACAAATACACACACAAAATTGGAGAGAGATGAATGTGTGTGTGTATGTGTGAAAATCAGGGGATTTTGTGACCTGTAAGTGTTGATACAATACCAGCCTAAAGAAGCATGTTACAGAGCAAGGCTCTGAAATCAGACGATGTGTGGCTGAGTCTTGATGCTGACATTATTCTATCTGAGCGACCTTGAGTAGATTAGCTGACCTCTGTGTGCCTCAGTTTCCTCATCTGTAAAGTGTACGTATCTTGCAGGGTTGTTGTAATGAGTAAATAAGCCAATACTGAAAAGCCTTTAGAGTAGTGCTTGTTCTACCTTGATAAATATCACCAATTACTGTTACTTTTTATGTTACTTAAGGGAGTAAGTCAGTCATTAATTAATCCAGGTCCTAGAAGACCACCTAAGTACACAATAGCATTTCAGTGCCTTTGTGCTGTGGAATTTACAGGTGTAAGCCTGTGAAAAGCCTGCAATTTGAGGCCTGAGAGAAATGAGGATGAGCAGATCTTTTTCATTTGCATGCAGTTTGCACCCAAACTGAAGCTCAAAACAGAAGAAAAGCAAACCGACTGTCCATTTTTTTCCCCCACATCCTTGCCCTATGACTTCTTGTATCCAGTCAAGGACAGAGTTGTTAGTGTTTTGCCCTCTGTCCCAGAGGGCTGGGGTTTGTGGTCACTGCCTCTCCCCACCACTGTGTTCAGCAATCAGAAATCACAACTCGTCCCTTCACAGCCTGCCAGTGTCACTGCAATTCTCTTTCTGTATTTCTGGCTGTTTTTGTTGAGTTTAGCAGTAAAACTATCTGCCCGTAATATTAAATGTATTTTAAGGTAAACACTATAGGAAATATGCTTTTCCTTTATTGGTTCCCCAGTCTGTATGCCACAATACGCCGTTAAGGTTTTGTTAAATTGCACATCACCTGTATAGGAATCACCTGAGGCATTTGTCACATGCAGACCTGAATATTTGTGACTCTGCATTTTAACAAGAGCCTTGATCATGTTAGGCACACTAACTCAGGGATGCGGTACTGCCAGGAAAACTTCACATATGATTTATTTTACCCAGATAGTATTTGCCATATTAGCTTTGACTGGATTCCTTGTTATGGCTTCAAAATCAGTTATGTACAGTCTTTTAAGGAGGTGCTTAAACTTGATGTGGTGGCATCTAAAAAGTGAGGAGTATCTATTGCTGGATGGCTGGATACAGGTGATTTTTATATTTTCTTTGCTATTTCTTCAAATAGCTTACCGCAGGCATGTGTTACTTTTTAAACTAGAGATAAAGGTAGACATACATATGCATAGGAAAATGCTGGAAAGAAAATTTATTAAATATTAGCCTTGGTATGTCTTACTGGTTAGGTTTATTTTCTTTTTCATCTATGAGATTTATTTTTTTCCCAATTATTCATCAAGTAATTATCTTCAGTTGAAGAAATACTGGCCTGTCTCTACTATAAACATAAGTTGTGTATGACTCATTTGGTGGGGAACTGGGAGCAAAGATTATTTGAGCAAATTAATTTTACGGAATTGTAAATATCAAAGCATTTATCATCAAAGATAAAACTTACGAGTATTTTTCACACAAGTAATGATCTAATCACAGTAATGCCCTATGTTTGGATAAACACGTAAAATCCTGGGCAACAGGGGTTGCTCCTAGAATAGCAGTAGGTACAATCATATGACTCGTCATGTCACACAAGCTATATAGAGTACAATATTTGATTTCTATGTACATAATATATTGAAATGCACGTACATGTGTGTTCAAAGGATATGCTATTAAAATGTTTTTAAAATAATTTGGTTTTTTAACTATACAAAATGCCTCTGTTGTATACAAATGAATTATATTTTCTGCAGAAGTGCAAGCTCCCCATCCTTTCCTTTTCCTTGTAGACAGCCTGAAAGGGACGTGCTGGCTCAATATCCAGGACAGCCGCTGCGAGGTGAACATCAACGGAGGCACGCTGAAATCGGAATGCTGCGCTACCCTCGGCGCCGCCTGGGGGAGCCCCTGTGAGCGCTGCGAACTCGGTAGGAGCCCGGGCCCGCGCCCCGCACAGGCAAGCCTCTCCCTTAGGGAGGCACCTGTTTTTCACTGTGTATTTCCATAGTGAGGATGGCCGTGAGATCACTCCCCTCCCTGAAAGGGTGTCTTTTCTAGTGTAGTCTGCTCTCTTCTTAAAACATGTTTTTGGCTTCTCCTTTTACTGCAAGGAGACTTCCTGAATATTTTAGACAAGGAAGGGAATCGGCTAGGCGTAACTGCTAGGTGATGACCAGAATCGCCACACTTGTCTGCATGTGTTCAGTAGAACATGGCGTCTCTTGCCTTTAAATCTTTTGTTGACTTGTTATTCAGTTAACAACGTGAAAGCAAAAAGGAATTGAAAGTTATGAGACTGAGCATGGGTCAACACGGATGGCGGTACCCCAGCGTGGCGTGTGTCAGCTACGTGGAATTGAACATCAGGCAGCTGAAGCCCCTGGCCTCGCCAACCCCTGCCTGTGGCTTCCACTTAGTTGAGCTTAGATTCCACTTCACTGTTTCTTGAGCTTCACACAGTGGTATTTTCTTTTATAATGAAGGTAAAATGTGTCCTGTTGTTTCTCACAGATACAGCCTGCCCAAGAGGTTTCGCCAGGATTAAAGGTGTTACTTGTGAAGGTGAGTGTGTCCCTGCATGATGTATATCTTTCGAGCAGCACGCAAAAGGAACATCTACTCTGACTCTGTGGAGATACTTGTCATTTTCAAAAACCTTGACGTTTCCTTCAGAATACTCAGTGTACTCAGCAAATGCTTTAGAATAATCCTCTTAGTAAACAAAAATTGAGGAAAAACTTAGGGTTTCCTAGTTCTCCTCTTTATGCTGTTGGGTAAATTTTCATAAGGCATAATTAGCCTTTAAGGCATTGAACGGCTGGCAAAGGAACGTGTCTGAACTGCACTTTATGAACGGCAAAGCCATGGTGATTTTCCCAGCTGGTGCCTGGGAAATCCCGAGGCTGTGCCTTAAAATCTTTCTGCTTAACTCAAGTAACAACCCACGTTGTATTGCAGATTGAATATGCTGTACAGGATGTAAGCCTATACCTGCTTTTTCTGTTTGTAACATCTTTCTCCTTCTGCTTGCTTCATTTTCCTGCAGACGTTAATGAGTGTGAGGTGTTTCCTGGCGTTTGTCCAAACGGACGCTGTGTCAATAGCAAAGGATCTTTTCACTGTGAGTGCCCTGAAGGACTTACGTTGGATGGAACTGGCCGTGTGTGTCTTGGTAAGATTCATACCCCTTGTGTATTTTATACAAGAAACCAGCCATGAGTTTTTCTTATATTTGAGGCAGCGACCAGTGCAGAACCATTCTGGGTCTGTAGCTGGAAAACTTGCTTTCAATGAGATAGGGGGAAGAAAATCACTAGAGGATATGGTTAAAGGGAATGTATTTAAGTGAAATGATTTCTGTATAATCCAGAAAGTTAGTACTGCTCAAAAAATTTCTCTTTTTCTTTAATCATATATTTTTTAGCACTTTCAGTCTTTCACACTGGTCAATGGAATAAGAGAACTATGGATATTTTGAAAATATAGAAGAAAAATTAGAGACTGGTGTTTGAAGTTCACATTTACCAGCCCATTGTAGCTGTACTCTCAGACTAGACAGTGGCGAAGTCATGGGCAAAGTTAGATCGTTTCTCTTTGAAAACATTGACTAATCCTAGGTCTTCCTTTACCACCTTCAGAATTAGGAATTTCCCTAATGCTTTATTTTTTAAAGATCTAAAATAAGGAACTCTTTCTTTCAACATCATTACTATAGAAATGTCTCATTGACCTTATGCTTTTTCAATGTCATGATTGATTAAAATTGAGTTTGATGATTGGAAATGAAGCCTCTATTAATTCTATATTGTATCTAAACATTTTTTTATTCACTTAAAGGATTTTTTTCCAATAGCCTATGAAGCAGTAAGGTTTTAGTTTGTAAAATAACTTTACATAGTTTTGTGTGTGAAATTTAAGCTTTCTAAGATGAAGCTTGAGCAATGGTAATGTTATATTCAAAGATCTCTGAAGTATTTAAATTTTTTTTAATTAATAGAAAAAAGTTTGCAGCACTGTACTGTTTTGTTATAATTAATAGATGTGATTTTGAGTTAATTTTTGATGGCATATTTAAATACAGATACAAAATATGACTATAAAATCATATTTTGGAATTGGTTAGAAGTTACAGTACCCCAAGTCCAATAAAAAAGAAAAATTCTCTTCAGACTTTTATTGTTAAATTAACTGTAAAGTTTAGAAAAAAGTAAAATATCTCTTGAAGGTGACATAAATAGTAGTATCAGTACGAGCAAATGACTAATAAAATCTAAGGATGCTTTCTATGAAATTATATCATTGATTGTAAATTATGACTCAGCAAAATAAATTCCCAGTAACATCACTCAAAATCAAACCTTCTGTAATATTCTAAAAGGATATGTTTGATTCTTCATCCTTGTACTTGGGGTAAATGTTTTTGTCCCTATTGAATTATGCTGCATTAATTCATTGTGTCTGGGGATGCAAGAAAGTTTCAAGAAGAGATTGATATATAAAAATGTACAATATTCTGAGAACAGAAGTAGAAGAAAACTGCTCTGATAGAAACTGATCTAAATTAGGGGTTCCAAACCCAAATGCTTTTGGGGGCCAAGCAGGTAACATAAAGAAGTGAGATGATAACATAAAGGAGTGAGCAGTGAGGACTGAAGGAAGTGTAGAGCACAGATACCATCGAAAGATTTCCTAATTCATATTTTAATTTCTTTGCAAGTCAATCAAAACATTCACAGGCCATATGTGGCCAGCATGCTGACAATATTTTGATCCCTGATGGAAATAGTGAGAAGGATCTGAGTGGTGATGACCCAGGATTAACTCTTCCCATCTATCATAACTTTTTACATCCTACATTCAAGTTTGTTTTTTCAACTAATCCCAGCTTCTTGAGCAAATTACTTCAATGACTTCAGAAACATTTTGACTCAGACCAGACTTCTCAGGGTACCTGTAATTAAATAAGACTTTTATATCTTGATCCCTACTTCCCTGGTGACAGTGGTGATTGGAGTTGGCTATAACTGAGACCAGCCCCTGGGTGCCTTGTGGAAATGAGACTCACTGTATTACTGTCACACCTCACATGGCAGAGAATGCAACTTTTCAGTTAGTGTTAATGCAGACATATAAGACAGATTAGCCTACTGTGAATACCTATATCCAGACTTCTGAAGCAAAATGAAATTTTACCACAGTTACTTATTTTTCTTGGAAAGTAGATCTTTGTAGTCATAACTATAAGTATTATAAGTATTTAAATGAATATTATAAATATTATAATTTAAATATATTTAATATAAGGATGGAAATGTATGCAATGCTAGGCTAAAGGAAGTCTCTAAAGCTGATGTTACCTTTGGTTGAGAACTTGAGAGACTTAGTGCTGACAGTAACTAAAATGGTAAACATTTATTTGTTTATGTTTATATTTCCATTAGGGAGCTCTCTCCCTTCAGCAGTTTTCAGGTTTAGGAAAGGATTTAATGTCTTGAAAAGCTCTTGTCAAATAAAACATGTTATTTAATTAAGGAAACCCTTTTTGAACTCATTTTCCAGGTTTGCAATTTAACAGCCAAGTGTTTGACTGTAGTTTGACCAAAAGCTCTATTGACTAACATAAATGTGTTATTTTTAGACTATACTAATCTATCCTATTTTGTGACTGCTGATCAGTCTCTAAGGTCCTGCCTGGTATGTCTTGAGGTTGAAGAGAAAATGTGACATTTAAGTAACTTGGCCCCTTACTAGGGGTAAATTTGGCAAAACAAAACAAAAAAACTTTAAGCGAAATAACATTTATTTCCTTTGTAAAGCTATTTGAATAGTTGTGCCAAACTGTCAAATAGATGAAAGTTGGTCATTTACTCTTTATGACTCGAATCTGACAGGACTGTTCACAAGCTACTTTATGCAATTCAGGGAACAAAAAGACACTGTCACTAAAATTATTTTATTTTTTCTGAAGGGAGCAATACAAAAGAGGGATCATAGGTGATAATATGGAGTCTTGTCACAAGGGAACCTTTTCCTGCTGAAGGTGTCTTTTGAGAATTAAGTAAGACTGTGGAAGGACTCACCTTCACTCTCTTTAAATGACTGTCATTATGGAGCCCTTCCTGGGGGGTCAGGAATCTGTCTCTTGCCTACTACTGTGTCTCCAGGGCCTGGCGTCACGCGGGCACTGCATGGACACTGAGTGTAGGAATGTTCAGTGAATGCTATGGCTTAGTCTCACACTGAGATGTCCCTCTCCACATAGATATCCGCATGGAGCAGTGTTACCTGAAGTGGGATGAGGATGAATGTGTCCATCCTGTCCCTGGGAAGTTCCGCATGGACGCGTGCTGCTGTGCAGTGGGGGCAGCCTGGGGCACCGAGTGTGAGGAGTGCCCCAGACCTGGCACCAAGGAGTACGACAGCCTGTGTCCCCGGGGGCCTGGCTTTGCTAACCGAGGGGATGTGCTCACAGGACGGCCATTTTACAAAGGTAACTGTCACCATTGCTTTGGTCCCTCAGCACTAAAGCTCACCTTCCACACACTCTGGGAATTGGTTTTGCCTTCAACCTGTGGTTTCCCACTTGACTTTCTCAGGTAAACACTACGTGCAGCCAAGCGATGGCCTGGAAGTACAAATCACCGACCTAAGTGGCGTCGTGAGGGGATGGTGTAAAGACACATAGTGCTAATCTCACTTTCTCACACCTTCCGACCACCACTTCTTTCCTTCGCCCAGCCTGGCTGGATGCAGCCCGGATGTAGCAAAAGTTCCCCCTGCCCCCTCCACCCCACCCAGCTCTGCAGAACAAGGGGTCAGCAATAAAGGGTCAGAACGCTTCACTAGAAACAGACTCGTTTTCACAATGGAAAGTTTGTGGGTGGCATCAAAGTGATGGTTGAACTTTTTGATATCCCACGTTTTTACTAGGGTACATTATTTTCTATCATGATCAATTTCCACTTAAAAAGGATGGGCCTGCAACTTTTCCACCAAGCAGCTGTCCGCTCCTGTCTGTTCTGCTTTCAGATATCAACGAGTGCAAAGCCTTTCCTGGGATGTGCACCTTCGGGAAGTGCAGGAACACAATCGGCAGCTTCAAGTGCCGCTGCAACAGCGGCTTTGCTCTGGACATGGAGGAGAGAAACTGCACAGGTAAGCTGTTCTTCTGTCCTCGTTGATAATGCCAGGCTCTCTTTCCTTTGCTCCATTTGAAAGCACTGCCTTCAGAAGCCCATCCCCTCACTGAGACCACGTACCTTTTTCTTTCTTTTCCCTACTGCTAAAGCCATTTCTCCAAGCAAGCTTATTGTGACAGCTGCAAACGATGGAAATGCTGTTTGTTCTACCTACAGAAACAATAGCTAAATGCAATTTTCAAGATATATGGATATTCAAGAATATAGCCATTAAATCGGCAATTGTGTAAACCTATAATAGCATTCCGGTAAAAAGCCTTTGTAATAGAGAAGCTAGAACTTCTTTTCCTCATCTGGAAATAGTTTTCTTCATCATTAGGCTTCATCCACCATCCATGTCCTGATCCATAACCATTCCCTTTGGTTTGAAAAGGATATGAAATCCTCCAATTTTTCTATTAGATAATAAAACAAATGAGTCTAAACACTTGAAATGTATCTCCAAGATTTTATTTGCTGAACTTTCTTCATATTCTCTCCGGGATTTGCCCTGTTCTCCTACCCTCGCACCTGCTACCTCTGCTTTCCACTGAAATGTGTCCCTGACTCCTTGCCAATTTCCTGATCCGTGAGGGACCCTGAGATCCATCTCTGTGCCTCCCCAGCCTAGACTATTCCAGAAGCATTTCAGAACTGCACACTTAGTCTTCTGAAGGTCTGCTGTCTTGTCAGTGTTTCCGCCCTCCTTGCTGAGGCACCTGCTGAAGAGAGCGTGCCTCTTGGGCTTACCACCAGCCACAGCTGAGGGGTAAGCAGGTCCTTCCTTCCTGAAAGGCAGCTGGGCTGCATATCGCAGTATTTGCCTCCTTGAGTTCCTTCCTTGTCCTCCAGCCCCTTAGTTCTCCAGGCAGATCCGTCTTTTCCACAACCCCCAAGTTCATCATCCTGAAGCAGGGCTGTGAGTATGTAGCACCCTACAAAACAACCTTGGCTCGCACAAACTATCCTACAGCTGGATAGAGCAGCTCAGTGTTCTTCCCGTTCTGATGCCACTTCTTATCACCTGGGTACAGTAAGCCAGGTCACTTAATGGCACTGACACTGGCCGTCTTTGACTGCATTAGAGAGATACAGGTCAACAGCAACCGCAATGCTGTGGGAGATCATGTGAAAGGACAGTGGGACACTGCTGGCTACCATGCTTCACAGCATCTAAGCTGACCTTTAGTCCCTGGGCCTGGCCCCCTCAGTAATCATAGCCACCCTACCAGTTACCAGCCTCCACAGTCCAGCCACTCTACACTTACTGCTCTTGGAAATGCATTATCATTCTTAACCTGTGCACTTCTCTCTTGCCCTTCTCTTTATCCCAACTCTTTAAAATTAGAATTTTTATACAGTCTTCAAGGACCAGTTCAAAAGTCACCTCCAAGATGCCAGTACTTAGCACAGACAGGCACTGTTCTTAGCATTTAACAAGTATTGATCCATGTAATCCTGTGAAGTACATTCAACTCTGCTCCCCATTTTATAAGCAAGGAAACTGAGGCAGAGAGAAATGAAATGATTTCCCCAAGGCCCTTCACCCTGGAGGTGACAGAATTGCAGTTTGTACCTAGGAGGCATACACTGACCACATCACATCAGCCAAAATCTGTCTCTCCTCTGCCATTGAACTTACGCCGTTCTTTGGATGGTTCCTTTTTCTTGTTTTTCTTTGGCTTTGCAAAACAAGTATTTATTTCTCTACCATGGAATAATCCCCTGCAGATCAGCTGGGGCTCCATTCAACTCAGTGATTTAGATATTCAGAATCCTTTCATTCTCTGAAGTGCTCAGTATTTCTTCCATCCAGCTGGCAGCTAGATGAAGGGCATGAGAAGTTCCGTATGGGTGTGCTTTATGGGCCAGGCGTGGGAATGGTATATGTCACATCTACCCATCTTCCTGTGGCCAGAACTCAGGCGTAAGCCACACTTGGTTGAAAGAATACTAAAATGTGGTCTCCGTGTGTGCCCAGGAGAAAAAGGGACATAATGTGAAAACAAATAACAAGTTTATGTCACAGGATCTAATTTAAAATTTATGTTTTCTGTAAGATATACACACACATGCTGAGAACAGAAGACTTGACTGGAGAACATAATCATATAATTCTTTGTAATGGATGTGCTTCAGTAAAACAATGCAATTTCCTGACTCTATTAGATTGATGTTGGAAAATCTTATACTTAAGTTCAAAAATTCTAAAGCCATTACACATTGAAGACAGTATTACAGTAAGAATGTATCCCTATATTATTATGATTCAATGAATATGTTGTTTTAATAGTATAAGATAAACTACATATAGTAATCACTTGTGACATGAAATTCAAAGATAGAAATGTTTCTGATTTTCTACAAATGTGAAAAAAATTGATCATTTATTCAATATATATTATAATGCTTTCAGTATAAAATCCTTATTACACATATTTTTCCCAATAAGACTATATCAAATGATTTAATTATTACTGAATTATTATTGAAGTTATCAAGAAGTCTGACTGCCCTTTTTCTTCATATGTTTCTTACCACCAGTGCCTAGATAGTAACAGACAAAAAGTAAGAGAATTAATATGCATATTGTTAGCTGCTTAACTGAATGAATGAATTGTTTAAGATTTTTGTTTAAAAGAAAGTACTTTCGTGTTCTCAGTATAGCCTGTAATCAGGGACATAGAGAAAGACCAGATCCTGGGAGAGAGCTGGGTTTCTGGGACCCCTAGGAAACCCTATTCAAGTTATCCACATATAGAGAAGTCCTGTGAAGGAAGTTCAGAATTCAAATTCTTCAAAATCAAGAGATGCTGGCAAAAGCATTTTTTCCCAGGGACAAAAAAATTTTTAAATGGCTCATGTTGCTTAATCATATTTTATAGACATGACTCCACTGTTGAACAATCTTACTTAAAGGCACCGGAGAGTTATCAGTGAATCCTGGTTTTGGTAATATAAACACTGCTACTGAAGATTCATTCCTATTACTGTAGTATATAACAAGTGACACACACACGAATACATTGTTTTATTTTTATTTTTAAAATTAGATCAATAGGTTCTTCACATATGAATGGGACAGAGAAACATAAATTTGGGTGCACTCCACGGCCCTGCCATATAAGTGCCGGATCTGGCTCCGAGTGAGCTGAGGCTGTCTCTCTCTCTCTCTCTCTCTCTCTCTCTGTGGTTGACCAGCCACCCTGCTCACAGGCAGCCAGCCGCCCAGGAGGGCAAGGACTAGGGAGGCAGACCAGCGTGGCCTTCGTATTGTGCATGGGACTCGTTCCATGTGCCCCCTGCCTCCCCGTTGGCCACCTGCCTTGTCCAGCCCACTCTGCAGTTGCTTGGTTCAGTTACCCTTCCTAAGCCATTGAGAGAAATCAACAATTCCAGAATCCCAGAATTCTTAAAGGCAAAAAACCATCACCTGCCCATCGGCTGTGACAGTTTTCACAGTAGGGGGAAGGAGAGTGCCTAAGGCCCTGGCCCTGTCTAGCTGATCGGCCGAGAACACGTGGTCACACTTCCAGCCACTGATTACTCCAGCATCTCAAGTGTGCCGCATCTTCCCTGGCAAGGCCAGAGCTCACTCTGTTCTCCAACACCTTCTCATCTCCTTCCATTTCTTTTCTTCTTTTGAACCCTGTGATTAGACATTGATGAATGCAGGATCTCCCCTGACCTCTGTGGGAGTGGGATCTGCGTCAACACACCAGGCAGCTTTGAGTGCGAATGCTTTGAAGGCTACGAAAGCGGGTTCATGATGATGAAGAACTGCATGGGTAAGCGTGTGCTCACTCTCCCTCCCTGGCCTTGAGACCAGGCTAGCACAGACTCGACAGCTGGCCCTCGGCTTGTCTCAGAGCTGCTAACAGCGTGCTTGGCAAGGAGCCGTGGTTAGAGAGAGAACAGATTTAACTGTCAGGCAGGAAATCTGCTCCTAGATAGCTCTGGGGGAGAGCCCAACCTCTTGGCGCCTTAGTGGCAGTAAGATATTCAGGCTGGGTTCTGTTTATTCAGAGACTCTAAAACCCGCCAACTACACTGGAGGGATGCATTTGACATGGGTGACATTGTATGGTGACCCCAACATTTATATTCAGTCATGCAAAGCCCATGTTTGTTTTCTTACTGGTGGGTTATTATAAACTCTTGGTACCAGCCACCTTTCAGCCCACTTTTTCATTTTCAGTGACTTACAGGACTCGTCTCATGGGGCATAGAAAGTAATCAGTATAAGATTTCTTTCTCTGTGATTAGAGATACAGACGGCAATATATGGCTTCTGGAGTTTAGGGTGACGAAAGCAAATACTGTTTACTTTTGCCTTTTGGGAACCTGCTAATTTCATGCAAGTAGATTCCTTGATAGCTCAGATCTTTGAGAGCTTTTCCCATTTCCCTCCTGGTGGGAGGAGAGGTGAGGAGAACAGCGTCCTGTCTCCCGCTGAGCCTGACTCTCACGTTAGAGTCACGCTTACCTCAGGTGATAAATCTTTCTCCCATGCTGTATGCGTGAGTATTTTTTCCTCAGAGTTCTTTAATGGATCTCACGTTTTTACCTTTCAGACATTGACGAATGTGAACGTAACCCTCTCCTTTGTAGGGGTGGTACCTGTGTGAACACTGAGGGCAGCTTTCAGTGTGACTGTCCATTGGGACACGAGCTGTCACCGTCCCGTGAGGACTGTGTGGGTGAGTGTGTCTCCTCGGCACATAACCCCATCCAGCCCAGCTGGCAGAGATCGTAAAGATGGGGGGCCTTCTAAAAGACATGGTTTTGGCATGTGAAATCTAGCTGCTTGAAAGTTGGAAACGCAAGGTCCCCGCATTTGGATTCAGGCTGTGTCCTTAGAGGAGGCTCCAGGCATGCATTTGAAGGAGCAGGCACTAGCCTGGTTTGCTCTTTTTCACTTCGAGCATGCGCGAAAGGACCCCGTGGGTGGGACCCCATGGGCAGGGCCCCGTGGGAGGCCATGTAGTCACTCCCCCTGGTGGATGGGAGGGGGAAGCTGCTCCCTGAGACCTCACCTGAGTGTGCGCCTGTGCAGCCGCCTTGCGCTCCTGCCTCTGTCATCATGGGGTCTACTCAGGCCCGAGTGGAGCTCCCCTTCCCCCTCTGCTCCCAGAGAGACCCTGTCTCCTCTTCGACCCTGAGCTCATCAGGGATGGCAGAGGTGACAGTAGCCCTGACAGCTGGTCTTGGAACATGCCCACCCAGGACTTCTCATGAACACCCAGAGCTCTCTGGGCTTATAGCATGCTAGCTCTAAAACTGGTATCATGGTTTTAAAACTTTGATTTGGCCAGGAAACATTTTGTCACAGAAAATCTTTCTTGAAAGTGTGACCAAATAAAAGTTTAAAACAGAGCCCATTGCACACCCCCATTTGAAAACATAATTTGAGCACACCTCCCCACTACACATATATATATATCACTATACTCACTTGTATCACTTAAATATGGACAATGTTTATATCACTCTGCTAATATGTTAGGTGAAAGTGAAATCATAGACTAAACAGACATTTTAGAAAGGTAAATGTAAATATTTTTATTCATGGTACAAAGAGCTTTTTCATGCAGATGATTACAGAATATTTATTCATGGTTGTGATGCACTGATTCAGAGATGGGTTTCTCAATTCAGTTTATTTTGTTCATTAGTTCTCATGAATCTTAGAGTTGGAAAAAAATACCTCTCAAAGGCACAATGTATAAGACATATTTTTGGACATTTAATAAAATATGTCTTTAATGGTAATAGACACAAATCCATATTTCACATAGTCTTCTTGGTAGTTTTGAGAATTGGGGATGAATTTCTAGTTCTAGCTGATTCTGTTGGTCGCTGTTCTTCCTTTTTTGTGTATGACAATTAGCTCATATGAGGAAAAGTCAACTACTGCTTTGTGCTGTCCTCTGGCAATTGCATGCATGCTAGTTTGTTCCACAGATCTCAACAGAAGTTTTTTTTAAGGCACCTGCCATCTTAGAAGGGTTTTTTTTAAATAATGAGGGTTTATTTTTAAATAGGCAATGTAATCTATAAATCCCCCTATCCAGGCACATTAAACTCAATATAAGAAGAACAGATAAAACAAGTGAGGGCCTTGTTATCAGGGAACCAGCTGCCTTCCCTCAGGAAACTTCAAATTGCTTGGGCAACACTTAACCACCTAATAAAGACCAGGTGAGCAGGTGAGCATAGCGGTAATTCATATATTAAATATTAGCAAGCTTCATTTCAGGTCTGCACTCGATGTGCATACTCTAAGATGATAGTCACTAGCCACATGGGACCATTTAAATTTAATTAAAATTAAATAATATTAAAAATGCAAATTTTTCAGTCACGCCATCCACATTTCAAGTGGTCAGTAGAACTATGTATTGGACAGCACATATATGGAAGGAACAGTTGCATCAGTGTGGAAAGTTTTATTGGGAAGCCCTCTTGTAGAGAGAGAGAGAATAGAAATACAGAGACCAGCATGGTCTTTAAACACCCCAGGTGACTTGCTTTGTCAGCAGTGCACAGACCCCTTTGGAGACCCCTGCCCCACCGTAGCATGTTCTTGAAGGTCTGATCTGGTCATTGCATGAAACATTAATTCTGGGTATCCTTTGACAGATGTTAATGAGTGCTCCCTCAGTGACAACCTCTGCAGAAATGGCAAATGTGTGAACATGATCGGCACCTATCAGTGCTCCTGCAATCCTGGGTACCAGGCTACCCCGGACCGGCAGGGCTGTACAGGTAGGGGCAGGCCCCCTCCGGGCAGGAACTTGTGTTTCTCAAATTAGTGTAGGAAACATCTGGAGCTTAATGTCTCATGAAGTCAATGGGCGGTCTTTGTCCTGAAAATGAATCTAAGCGTGGGGGGCAGATCTCCCAGATGCCATGGTTGGGGGTAGTTTTGCAAAGCAATCTCTGCTTTTATCAAAGAAAACACCCGTAACCCCCTAGTTATTGTACCTCTGAGATCGTTAATGGTAGCCGACTGGCGCCAAATGGAATGCTGTGTAAAAGGAAGTAAAAAGAACTAGGAAAGACTGATGACGGGGTAATGACAACACACAGCAGGGAGCAAAACCCAAAGCCATTTAGGCATTCCCAGTTTAAGAAAAAGAAAACGCCTTCTTTTTTTTTTTTAAGTAGGCCCAGTAAGTAATGGGGGGCCATGTTGTTCCCTAGATATCGACGAATGCATGATAATGAACGGAGGCTGTGACACGCGGTGCACCAATGCAGAAGGGAGCTATGATTGCAGCTGCCGCGAGGGCTATGCCCTGATGCCCGACGGGAGGTCGTGCGCAGGTACCAGGGGGAAACTCGCAGACTTTGTGCCGCAGACCTGTCACAACTTAACAGATCTCACTCCAGATATCCAGAGTGAAACTGGATGGGAAAAAATATTTGAGCTGAATAAAGCCACCTTGGTTTTCATTTGATGTTTATTTTGTATCGTCAGACATTGATGAGTGTGAAAATAATCCTGACATCTGTGACGGTGGCCAGTGTACCAACATTCCTGGAGAGTATCGCTGTCTGTGCTACGACGGCTTCATGGCTTCAATGGACATGAAGACGTGCATCGGTGGGTATCGTAGGAACAGGATGACTATTTATACACACGCATTTAAACATGGGAAGAAGAGGCTCTTTCCGTTATTTTTAAAGTTCAGACCATTGTAATAGAAGGTGTGGAGCTGGAAACAAAGAATTATTTGAAAAAAGTCCTTAAGGACTGTGTATCTGTAGTACTATGTCTTGCAAATAGATTGTTTTAAAATGTATCAGTACATTTCAATACCATGCTATTTTTTAAATTATTATTAAGGTATTATTGATATACACTCGTATGAAGGTTTCACATGAAAAACAATGTGGTTACAACATTCACCCATATTATCAAGTCCCCCACCCATACCCCAATGCAGTCACTGTCCATCAGTGTAGTAAAATGCCACAGATTCACTGTTTGTCTTCTCTGTGCTACACTGTCTTCCCTATGCTCCCTCCCACATCATGTTTACCAATCATAATACCCGTCAATCCCCTTCTCCCTCCCTCCCCACCGCTATTCTTTTCTAAAGGATAGCTTCCAAATTCCTAGGATGAACACGTATTAACCACAATATTGAAAATACATTTTCTAGATGTGAATGAGTGTGACCTGAATTCCAACATCTGCATGTTTGGGGAGTGTGAGAACACCAAGGGGTCCTTCATTTGCCACTGCCAGCTGGGTTACTCCGTGAAGAAGGGGACTACAGGATGCACAGGTAGCTCTGCGGCTTGTATCCCCAGGATTTTGGCGGCTTCTGTTTCAGAGGCCAGCTGCCAGCCTCCCTTGTTCCCGTGCAGCTCTGAGCGCCTTGCCCTCCTGTGGCCGGGAGTGTGAGGAGCCTGTGCCCCGAGAGGTGTGGGACCGTGGCTGCTGTCGGTGCCAGCCCGCCAGTGCCCACTGCGGATGCGGGTGGGAGGCCGGCCACGGGGTCTGGTCCTGGGCCCCCGGCGCACCCAGCAGCTCTGGCAGCATGGTTGCTGAGGAGGACAGCCCCAACAGGAAGCAGCACCAGAGGCCTCCAAGGCTCCCTGTTGTTCTGGTTTTGCAGTTCTTCCAAACTAACAAGAGATTAATCTAGATTTCTGTTTAAACTCTCCTTCCTTCTTTTCCTCCATCTTTTTCTCTCTCTTTCTCCTGTCTTTCCATTTGCTTTTGCCCTCTCTGCCCCCTGCCCAAATGGCCTCTCTCTTCTCTCTTCACTTTCTGTGCTCACCCCCTTTGCTACATGTCTGGTTCTCTTTCCCTGCTGCACACTTTTAGCCTTTTGCATAAAATGGGTGGGACGTCCCAGGGTCAGTGATGTGGACCAGACGTTCGTCACTGTTCAACTGAAGGCCTTTGCATGGTATTTTGCTCAAGGCAGGTGGTGGGAGGCTTCGACCGCAGCCTGGCCCTAAACTGATACCTCCAGGAAAGGGCAAATAATGAGTGAAGGGCGCTCTGATGTTCACTGCTAGTGAGACTGGGGGGGTGGAGGGGGGGGTTGTGTGTGTGTATGTGTGTGTGTGTAGGGCGCTCTGATGTTCACTGCTAGTGAGGCTGACCCAAAGCTAGGAGAGGGTGTGTGTGTGTGTGTCTGTGTGTGTGTGTGTGTGACTTCAGCATCTACAATATGTAATCATTGACCTGGATGGAACAGGAGAGGGGTGTGTGTGTGTGTGACTTCAGCATCTACAATATGTGATCATTGACCTGGTGTGTGTCTGTGTGTGTGTGTGTGTGTGTGTGTGTGTGTGTATGACTTCAGCATCTACAATATGTAATCATTGACCTGGATGGAACAGGAGAGGGTGTGTGTGTGTGTGTGTGTGTGTGTGTGTGTGTGTGTGTGTGTGTGTGTGTGTGTGT